ACAATGCCTTGACCTGAGACCCACAACTTTCTTCTGTACTTCCAGACCTGGCCTTCTTCTGAAGGTCTAATAGCATGGAAAACCATTGAGTCTCTATCACGTTAAAGGAAACCTATACCAAAAATCACCTGTGCTGTATCACAATGGATTTATACAATGCAATCTGCTGTTGCAAGGTGCCTAGATACCCCAGAAAAGTACTAACATAGAAAAAATAACTGTATAATTTAATTAAAGCAATTCTTCAGTCACTTCAGTGCAAAAACTGTACCTGCTGACTTTTAATAAACAAGACACTCACCTATCCCAGGATGCACACCCGGGTCAGTTTCTTCTCCGGTCTTTGGTCCCCGTCATATTTACTATGGTTGCTGGCTGCCCACTGTGCATGTCATGCTGCACTTTGTGAATGGTCCCACAGGCTTCTGGGACCTGTGGCGTGTCCTAGAAGGATGCAGGCAGGGAGGGGGGAGAGAACTTTCACTAGGATCGCCCAGATCCAAGTGAAAGTGGGAGCAGGTACCTGTCAAAACCAAGTAAACCTCCCCCCCCCCCAAAAAAAAAAGGATGTGCCAAAAATGTTGGGGGGGGGGGGGAGGAGGAAGAGTGGAACTTTGAAGTTCCACTTAAAATGTATAATGAACACAAAGAAACTGTAAAAATAGTGAAGGTGATCAATCAGTCCAACATACATACTGTGACCATGCTCTGTGCCACTCCAAAACACCATCCCTGAAATTCATAAAGACTGGGGCAGACAGATTTTGTGAAAGTGTCACTCATCTTCTAAAAGTGGTGCAGCAAATTCATGTACCTTTCTAGAACTTGTACTTGAATTTGGCTCATGCGGCGCCACTTTTAGAATGCATACAAGACACTTTGGCAAAACTGTCTGTGCTAGTTTATCCTTATACACCAAAAGAGAGTTGGTCTTAATTTGTTCCATTTTTGTGAGATAGAAACGGTCAGTATTTTATTTTTAATTTGGTGTCCCGAATGCAACACAATTGCTTTTGGCGCATTCAATGCAACACAATGTAAAAGAGGCACATTTAGGAATTTGGTGCACGAGTCACTGTCAGAGCCAAAAGTGTTGCATATGCTTAATGAATATTGGCGCAATACCTTAATCAGAGAAATTAACGCCAGAAAAATGGAGCAGTTGCTTTATTGAATTTCCTCCAATGACTTTGTGCAACATATGTGGTTCATTTATATGGTGTCTTTCACTTAGGTGTTTAATTAACCCCTTCCGCAGCTGTATGGAGAAATGGGTCAAAATGTGCCTGTGAACCTAAGGTATGGATATGGCCAATTCTCCACTATTCCTTCCTAATTTTTTTAGCCAGCTTCAACAACGCATTTTTCAGTACGGATTACATGGCAAATAATAGAGAACAAGGAAAGGAAGGCTCTCATAGTGAAGTATGACTTTATTTGTTAAAAGCTGTACTCTACGTAAGTATTTTAAAGGAAACCTATGCAGACAGGATTACATGGGCTGACCCTGTTGACCTCTCCTTTCATAAACTGCCTGGTTGTCCTGCTGACTTCAATACTTTACTAGTGGGTGACCTGGATTGAATATATGTGGAATAGGAGTTCTGGTTTCACTTGCTGCAAACGTGTACTGGATCAGAAAATAATGAAGATGGATAAAGTCAGGCCACTAGTCTTTTCAGATGGAAGGCATCAATGACAGCCCTAATTCTTTCAGAGTTCCTTTAAAGTGACCTTGTCACAACCTAACACTTTATAGGCTGCCCATATTACTAAAATGTAGAAAGATAGCACTTATTATTGCTGCTTTTGACATGTGTTGGAAGCTTACTCAACGAGATAGCAGGGACTTCTCACAGGGGCAGGATGTCACCAGGGTTTCTGTCCCCTGAATGTGACACTCACAGTGCTCAATAATGAATAAATCTCTACCATTCACTGGCACTGGCAGTATACAGACACTCTTCCACACACAACTTCAGGCGCTATGTAATGACAACAGAGGTTGTGTCTAGGACAACCTGCATATGTTCAAGTGAGTTTTCTTTGCCTGTGCTGGGCATCAAAATCTCTTCAATCACTACTTTAACTAAATCAAGTTTTGCTTTAAAAAATAAATAAAATAAAATACAGTCATGGACAAAAAAATTGGCACCCCTGCATTTCTGTCAGATAATGCACCACTTCGCCCAGTAAAGTTTTGCAATTACAAATGTTTAGGCATTGTCATGTTTATTTCTTTTGCTTGTATTGGTATGACACAAAAAAAGTGGAGGAACAAATAGTCAAATCTGACACATTCCACCCAAAGCCCCCAAAAATGGACTGGACTAAATTATTGGCACCCTCAATTTAATATTTGGTAGCACACCCCTGGGAATAAATAACTGAAATCAATCGCTTCCTGTAACCATCATTTAGTTACACCTCTCTACAGGAATTTTGGACCACTTTTCTTTCGCCAACTGCTCCAGGTCTCTCAGATTGGAAAGGCTCCTTTTCCCCAACTGCTGTTTTGAGATCTCTCCACAGGTGCTCTATGGAACTGAGATCTGGACTCATTGCTGGCCAGTTCAGTACTCTCCAGCGCTTTGTCTGAAACCATTTCTGGGAATTTTTTGAGGTGTGCTTAGAGGTCATGGGTCAGCAGGACAATGACCAGATGAAGACCTAACTTTCTGATACTGGGCCCTACATTGCACCCCAGAATTCGTTGGTAGTCTTCAGATTTCATAATGCCATGCACATAGTCGAGACATCCAGTGCCTGAAGCAGCAAAGTAAACCCAAACCATCAGTGAACCTCCATGTTTGACTGCAGAGATTGTATTGTTTTTTTAAAGGCTTCATTGCTTTTTCTGAAAACAGTAGAATTATAGCCTTTACCAAAAAGATGTAATTTAGTTTAGTCTGTCCACAGCACATTCTCCCAAAAGGATTTGGTCTTCCTCAGATAACTTTTGCCAAATTCCAATCTAGCTTTTTTATGTTTCTTTGTCAACAGTGGGGTCCTCCTGGGTCTCCTACCATAGTATCCCTTTTCATTCAGATGGCGACGAATATTGCGAGCAGACAATTGTACCCTGTGCCTGAAGGTCAGCTTGAATTTGTCTGGAAGTTGATCGAGGTTCTTTATCCACCCTTCGGACAATCCTTCATTGCAATCTTTATTCAATTTTTCTCTTTCGTCCATGTCCAGGGACATTAGCTACAGTGCCATAGGCTGTAAACTTTTAAACAAGGTTGCGCATAGTGGACACAGAGGAACATTAAGATCGGTTAATTGATACAGGTGAGTTTAATTACAAATTACAGGAGCATCACAAACTTGGAATGCAATTATTTCAAATTTGGCTTTTTGTTTTTCCACTTTTTTGTGTCATACCAATACAAACAAAAGAAACAAACATGAGAATGCCAAAACATTTGCAATTGCAACAATTTTCTGGGTGAATTGGTGCATTATCTAACAGAAATGCAGGGGTGCCAATATTTTTGGCCATGACTGTATATAGTGCATTCATAAAGTATTCAGACCCCCTTCATTTTTTCAATTTTGTTATGAGGCAGCCTGATATTATAGTTGTTTAAATTCATTTTTTTTTTCTTATTAATCTATACTCAGTACCCCATAACAACAAAGCGAAAACCTTATGGGGTACTGAGTGTAGATTGACGGAAAACAAATAATTTACACAACTGTAGTATCAGGCTGCAACATAACAAAATTGACAAAAAGTGAAGGGGTCTCTGAATACAAAATATGCACTAATATTATATGTTATGGATTTTATTTATTTTATTCTGTAGATCCCTTAAGTGCTACTGTTTTAATGGGAAAAAAAACTGAACTACAGCAGCCCGTGTAAACTTGCAAGCACCCTTAACAACAAATATGAAAGGCTCACTGCAGTTAATCTAAAGACTTTTTTAGGGGATGTCTAACAATTATATCTCACGCTCTTTGCTGTATTCTGGGAAAAGAAGTGAGACAATTACAGGAGTAGGGGGATGAGAATGCTTCGAAAACCTTTACACAGGGTAATGTTGGCATGACTTCAAGAAAGTAGAATACTGAATTTTGACAATGAATTGGCTGCTTTAGAAAAACATAACAGCTGCAAGTTTAAATAGGAGAGGTCATTTTATACAGTTGAAATACAATTAGCAAATATACATTTTTTTCAATGACAAGTGTACATGCAATCAAAATGCACAAAAAATAAAATGTGTTATTTGTGGGGAAAAATAAGGTTTTGCAAAAAAGAAAAAAATAACTTGGTGCAAAAGTATAAGAATGATTCCTTAATTCCAACTAAATCCTTTTATTTGGCAGTGTAAGATCCAATTAGAAGGTGTAGGCTACAGAGGAAATTTTTGTATGCCTACAAAACAAGAGACAATACAAAAAGTGAACATTCTTTAAAGCTCATGTTTTATCTTTACAACGTTAAAACATTTGTCAGAAAACACATACAAACATACATATTTAAAGGAAGCCGTAGATTACGGTCACTATAACACATACAGTAACATTCTGATTAGACTTTCTGTCAACACTGCTCGCAGCAGATTTATTTAAATTATCTTTGACATTGAGGCAATAATGGCAGTTATATACAGTAAATTTCAGAAATCAAAATGGTTGAAAGAATCATTACATCATGTTCTGAAAACAGGAAACAAACAAGTTGCAGCATTTTAATTTACAAATAACTCTCAAATACTGAACTCTATAGGGATTTCCTATTTTTTAGATTTTTAAATTTTAATAACCAGTCATTAGAACGAAAATAATTAGAATTATAGAAAATGTCAGGCTGCATAGGTAATTACAAAGCCCCAAAAAATATATATATATTTTTTATTTAAATTTTCCTATGAAAGTTACTGAGATATTATATATCAATATATACCTTAATTTAACAAAACTTAAACTTAAGTATTCAACTGGTACATTCGAAGGATGTGAAGCAGTAAGAACGATTCTTGGCACCGCATCTAGTTTTCGGGTAATGTTTGTGAGAAAGCTGGATGGCTGATTCGAGATTTTCCATTAATGGAAATGGTGTTAGAGCGGATAGTGATCTGGAACAAGAACGGGAAAATAGTAAATTTATAGCACTGGAATATTTAAATAACAAGCATAATTTAACCCTTCATATTTTTTTTCTTTAAGAAAAAAGTAGAACAAATGCTTCCCCAAAACTGCCTAGAGTATGACGGACTTTGTTAGACCACAAATGTTGACAGAAGCCTCTTTACTCTGAACAGCAGTTATACTTTTTTTTTTCCCCAAACCAACATTTCATGCTGGGATCCAGCCCTCCCCCTGAAGTAACAACCCCCCGAACCTTAATTCTTCCCTTACCTTGTTAATTCTCCACTAACGTCTAATCTTCTTTTCAGTTACAATGAACTTTTTACTCACTGGGAAAAAACTCCACTTTCATGCCCCAAAAATCTATTACTTGCTCTGACATAAAATGTAAACAAACACAAACTGAAATACGTATCCTATACCATTTACATTCTGGAAGCTTCTGTCTGATTGTAAATCAATCTGTAAACATACTTGAATTTATGTTGATGTACGTGATGTGCTAATACAAAGCATGTTGACATTCTCATGGAGTAATTTGTACGTATAGCCAAAACTTTTGATTCAGTTTTGGACAGAGTAGAGAAAAGGAAAACCCCTGTCAAATTGTTAATGCTATCTGTGCCTACCATTGGCGAGATTCAAGTGATTCTAAAAGGTTGATTTTTTTCTTTTCTTTAAATAACAAAAACATGTTATTCCTACCTGCTCTGTGCAATGGTTTTGCACAGAGCAGCCCAATCTTCTTCTTTTTGGTTCCCCTGCTGGAGGTCCTGGCTCCCTCTCCCTACCTCTTGCTATGGGGGCACTCAAGCTGGCTTGCTCTTGAGCCGCGATCCTGTGAATGGATATTGTCCATTCACACACAGAACATGGCTTGTCCCATCCCCTGCTCTCTCCTCATTGGCCCACTGGCTGTGGCTGACAGCAGCAGAAGCCAATGCCTCCTGCTGCTGTGTGAGCCAATGAGGAGAGAGAGACCTAGCTCTCATACACATCACTGGATCGAGATGGGGCTCAGGTAGGTATTGAAGGTGGGCTGAGCTCAGAGCTGCACCCAGAAGGTATTTTTTACCTTCATGCATAGAATACATGAAGGTTAAAAACCTTCTGCCTTTAGAACCACTTTCAGCCTCCCTATTTGTCCTTCTGACCACTGTCACGGAGACAAAAAATTATGAAAAAAATCCAAAATGCACTAGAACAAGAGGTGGGGAAAATTTCCCATCACGGGTACCTGTTCCAGTGACAACTGTCTAAATGGGGATTCTGCCCTCACTTTGTAGGGATCTCCTCATTTCCTGTTGCATCTTCTGAACAGCTAATAAAAGGGAAATCTTATAAATGGGACACAGCCAGTAAAAAAAAAAATTTTTTAAATAATAAACAAAAATGGGTATTTAACCATTTCCTATATTTTTCAAGTAAACAAGAAAAAAAAAAAGGTTTTAGCTATACCTACACTTTAATTATATACATTTTATGTGTAAATGCTTGATAAAATGTGTTAACTGAAATATTTTCTACCTTGTCTACTGCTAAAATATTTTACATTGTACTTGTATTTAAGAAGATTCTGAACAGAATAGGAGTTAGGATTCCTCCTAGTGGCAGGAAAATTCTTCTGTTTTTTTCAAGCTGCTGTATTGGGTTTGCTCATAAATGTAATATTGAACTCTAAACATCGCCAGTTGTACCAGTTTGGGTGTGCAATTTTGTGATATTGGAGTAGTTTAAATGCACAGAAAGACATAACATTGTAAAGCCATATTTATAACTATTGGAGTAATGCCAAAATGTGTACAACGTCTGGACCACAACCAGAAACACTTCATTCGAATGTCTGCTGTATGGGAAGCATTGGTTACTGAACTTCTGTAATGTTGGCACCTCTGTCAATGACGACAAGTCACTACTGTCAATTATGGCAACTAATTTATCCAACACATAAATGCACAATGTATTGTCATCCAGGTTATAAGAGAAATAATATTGCACACTTTCTAAAGTAGCTCCTCTGAACTAAAACATTAGTGCTGCTCTGTACATTATAATTGCTACAAACCCCTTACATATACCCAGTGAAGTGGCTGGCCTCAGGTGATGCACAGAGATCAAAAATCTTCCTACATAAGTTGTGCCTGTTTATCTGCTGTCCTCTCTCCTCTACAGCTGTAGAAAATTTCTCAGCTCCAGAAGACAGACGGAGGGGATCTGATGTCACACTGCACAGCATAGAGCAGAGAGATGAGCGTGATCCGAGACGTCAGTGGAGGGAAATTAACCCCCTCCCCCCTTTACACAGTCTCATAGGGAAACGTGTAGTTGAGGCTGTCAATCACATGCTGTGTGCTGGGGGGGGGGGGGGGAACAGGGCTGTCTTATGGAAATGCCTTGTGTCATCAGACTACCAGAAGTGACTTATGCTGATAGCAGAGGAATGACATAGCAGACAGAAATCACATTAGGTGCTTTGGATTGAGACAACTGACATTTTCAGGCAGACCTGATTGGACCCTCTATTCTGCTCTATGGAGTGGTGGGTGTAAAACTGACTTGTGTCCATTTACACCCGTATTCCTCCAATCCGATAAAAACAAAAAAATGGAAGGGGATCTGTGTCCCTCTGTCTGGGCACTATGGATCAGAGGGCAGTCAGATGTAAACAGACAGCCGGTCCATATACAACCAACTGTCCATAGAACAGAGCAGGCAGTAGCAGTGTTAACTCTGTATAAGTAAGTGGAGCAGACACGGACCTGTCATCCACCAACTCCACTCTGCTCAGTGGGGGGGGGGGGGGGGGGGGGGGAATCAGCAGACAGATCTCCCATTGAACAAGAGAATGGCAGACAGAGGCCCCCCCCCTCCCTCTGTGTAAATGGGGCCTAACAGTGTCCTTTAAAGCTGAACTCCAAGCAACTCTAAAATATCAATTTTGTGTCCATTAGAAATTATTTAATGTATATTTTAACAAATTTATGTACTGGAATTTGAATTAATATCACTTATTATCCTGTAATCCTCTGTACAATAGCACAAAATTAAAAGCAAATTAGGTGTGTAACATGCAAATATACTGAAAAAGAATATGCCATGGAAAAAAAAAAAAAAAAAGTGTCTGCTGCTCACATTGTCTGCTTCTCATTTACTGTCCAGTTAGAGGCTTGGGAAGTGACCATAATGTATTTCCTAAATACGCACCAACCAAAAAGGAGTTATTTTTACATGCATGCATTTACCCAATTACCTATAGTTCAGTTTTAACATCTACAAGGCCAGCTTTCACGCCTAGATGATACTGCCATAATGTGTGGCATTGGTTACCAGTGCTAACACTTGTCTGGTGCAGTTTCTATATTGTTGTCTACTGCATTATTCCAAAAGAAAATTAAAAAAAAATCATTTAAATAAGCAAATGATCAATTTTAGTGAGAAACCCAACAAAAAACTGCAAAAAATAAAATATTTCCCATTACATTATCAAAGCACATTTGCAAACTGGACAGCCATTAAAATAAATAAATGCAGTGTCATTTTTTGAGCAAGCTTAACCTACTTTACTATTAGCTTTATATTAAGGATGAAGTTTAATTGTTGATTTTAAAGTCGTGTTGGTGATCATGCTACTCAAGTTGCGTTCATACCAGGAGACTGAAGTAACACACAACTACAACTATACACCTGCTTATCGTGCTGCGTTAGTAAACAGGCTTAAAAAATGGTGCAGAAATGTGAAAAGTCAAATTCCATCAAGCATAGGTAATGTAAAGTTCATATTTAATTAAAAAGCACCGAGGATTATGTCTGACATTTAAATACGCCTCTGCTCACAAGACCTGCAGAACATTGGGCTTGACATTAGTGGAAAGCACAGTCAGACCAAAGTGAACTATTTTTTTCTTCATTTTATAATTTTTTTTTTTGTTTTTTGTTTTTTTTTAAAAGGGGGTCATTTATCAAACTTTTGACCGGTTTATACATTAGCCTAATTGGTGATATGTACATGACTTCTGAGGTAACCTACTGATAAAAGCCAGCATTAGCCAACTCCAAACTAAACTGAATTGGTTTACAAGATAAAGGTCTAACCACAATGCTATAAAGAGAATTAGTGCTCTCAGACATACTGTAAAATCAATGTTAATGTAAAGGAACTGTCCTCAAAACGTAAACAATCTGTGTAGAATATTTTAAGATCCCATTGCATTGGCTGGGAAGCCATGTTTGTCAGGACAGAACATGACAATATTGTAGGTATCACAAACTTACTGAAGGACATATCAGCATGGATGTCACACCACTTCCTCAAACTTTCTAAAATGGAGCTTGTAAAATTTGCTCCTTCCTGATCCCATCCCCCCCCCACACTATAACCATTGGGATCACCAGCACAACCAGTGGTCCCTCTGCACAAGCCAGGGTTGCTAGGCATAATCCTAGCCTCTGACCTCTCCTCTGGCCCCATATCCAATCACTGGCTATATCCTACTGTCTCAACCTCCGCAAACATTTCCATGACTAATGACACCGAAAAACAACTTATTCACTCCTTGGTTATATCCCGCCTTGACTAATGCAACTCCCTCCTCACTGGCCTACCATAACACAGGTTATTGCCCCTTCAGTCTATTATGAAAGCTGCTGCCAGGCTTATACACCTTACTAACCGATCCATGACTGCTGACCCTCTCTGTCAATCCATTCACTGGTTTTCACTAGTCTAACATATAAAATGCAAACTACTAACCACAATGTACAAAGCCATTCACATCATTGCCCCAGCTATAATCACCCACCTCATCTGCAGATATTGCCCAAATTGTCATCTCCTCTCCTCCCAAGACATCTTGCTCTCTAGCCTCCCATGCTTGCCTCTAGGACTTCTCCAGAACCTCTCTCATCCTCTGGAACTCCCATCCCGGTATGTCTGGTTAGCTCCTACCTGGTCAGCCTTTATGCAATCCTTGAAAACCCATTTAATTCAGGGAAGCCTACCCCACCTCCACCTAAAAGACATACTTGAGTCACCTTCACCAAATCACCCCCTGCAGCGGTTACCTTTTGTACCAACTTCCCCTCCCTTTAGATTGTAAGCTCCATGAGCAGGGCCTTCCTATTCCTTCTCTATTGAACTGTACTGTATTTGTCCTGTTCCCACTTATATTGTAAAGCGCTGCACAAACTGTTGGCACTAAAATAATAATATTAGATATGCAATTCCAACTACCTCCCTTAATAGAACCTTTAAATAGTTTTAAGGCATTTACTTCTGCTGCCCATGCCATCGATCAGTGGTGTAGTGAAGAGATCTCAGTTGATTCTCTGAGAGACAGAAGAAACAATTATTTACCTCCTGATGCTGACTGCAACTGAATCTATCAGGCTCCATGCAAAGAGGACATGAAATAACTCAACTTTCCAGCAGCCTGCACTTCTGATCTCTACAATAGAAAAGAGAATCTACCTGCTGAATATCTAGCAGAATCTGACACTAAGAACTTAGATTTCTTGGTCTGATCCGCCATACCCTATGCCAATACCATGTCCCATAATGATGTAGTTGTCAGCGGGAGGAACCACAGTTCGCTGCAGGGGGTAAAGGAAAATAACACTCCTGAAGTGTCAGATTCTGCAGGATCTTCAATGGGTGGTTTCCCTTTACTACTGCAGATATTGGTGGCATAGGCAGCAGGAGAGGTGAATATTTACTGCCTTCTTTGCATGTAACCAGATCATTTCATTTTAGGTATCAGTGGGCTGAATGATGGTTTCTTAGAACTCTCAGACAATTCACTGAGAAAATCTTCCTGTGATAGTTTAGCATCTGACTACTGCCTTCTTACTCCAAGAGATATTTAAAGTGATTCTAAAGACAGGACATTTTTCATCTTAAAAGCATTCCCTGCACTAAGGTACAAATGTCCCAGTAGTTGTATCAGATAAGTTTAGTTGAAGTGCTTATCTGAAGGTGTGTTCCCCAACAATTTAAACTGGGACTTTAAAGGCAACCCAAAACAGATAATGTAATTATATAAATCATTGTATTCCAAAAATAAAGGGACATCATAATTTAACACATAACACACATCTTATAAACATACATAACATAGCAAAAGAACTGTCTATATGACTTGCTATGAGCTGAGACGTAGTGTTGCACCTTCTCCTACAACCCAAAAAAAAGGCAGTGAGAGGTGAATGAACTTCAGCAAGAGCCCGACGCGTTTCAAAACATAAGTCTTTCTTCAGGGGTGTACTGAAGGGAAAAGATGGCCGGAAAAACATTCATCTAATTTTCTTCTGGAATGTTATAGTTGCACAAAGAAAGGCATTAGTCCTTTTCTGATATGCTTACCGGTGGCACCCTGGTGCACCAAGGGATGGATGGTAAAGGGGAACTCAAAAGAAGGGAGGAGGAGGACAGCCACTCCCCAACATGGGTGATCCTCTAACACAGGGATCGCCTGAAAGGACAACGGACCCACTTACGTGGATGCAAGAGGTCAAGAAAGAGCCTGAATTCCCCAATATTTCTTGACCAGTGAGCACCTCCAGTTAGTAGCGAAGTGGCATTCAGAAGATCTGAATTTGTGGTTCTGGCCCTAGAACTTATTCTAACTCACAATGTTTTCATCTCTGAGGGTTCCCACTTCCTCCAGGTACAGAGCGTGGCCATGAAATGCTTGTCTGAGTCCTATCTCGATCCAGCTCTCTGCCAATCTGCAGTGGCACTTGTCCGTGTTCCTCTTCTCACAGGACACAGAGGAGCAGTGGGAACCACTGGCTCCTGCTGCTGTCAATCAAATCCTGTGACAAAGAAGCAGGGGGTGGGCTGAGCCACGTTGTGTGTGTCTATAGACACTCACAACCCAGCTTGGGAGCAAGCCTGCCTGTGTACCCCAATAGGAAGAACCCTTGTTATGGGGGCACACTGACATGAGAAGAAGCAAAGAACGCAGGCAGGGGGAGATCAGACGAAGTGGTTAGGGTTGATCTGTGCAATATCATCCCACAGAGCAGATAAGTATAACATGCTTGTTATTTTTAATTTAAAAAAATATATATATAATTGACAACCGCTTTATAGGAAAAGTGCAGCCAAAGCGCTTTTGACTGTACTTCTCCTGTGGATCACAAAAGTGCAGTTTGTTCTGCACTCCTGTGACCCGTTTTCAGATGACAGCTGAAGCCTGCTGTCAACTGATGTCACTCAGCTGGTCCAGGCTGCAGAAACATCCCAACTTTGAAGTCGGGATACACCCCAGCGATCCACTGAGAGCCTGAGCCAGCTGCTCCCTCTCCCTCCAGTGAGCGTGGGGGGCAGGGTGGCAGAGCAGACAGTGGTGACTGACAGTCACTGCGCTGTGCTAAGAGTGGCTGTGAGAACTCAGCGATCATGTGATCGCGGTGTTCTCACCCTTAGAGCCGGCGGGGGACAGATGCAGCATCGGATCGCTGCTGAATCCACCTAGGTAATTATAATTTTTTAAGAAAAAACAAATCTTATACTTCTCTTTTAAAGCCAGCATGTAATTTAAACATGCAAAACTGAAACAGAGCACAGAGCAATTGGTGCAGTTGTTGTTGAGTCTAAATTTATCTTGGTTATCTGTAAAGAGACCAGATAATTTTCAGGGTGATTTCTTCTAAGGTATATTAAAAAAATAAAAAAGTATATTTTTCTTCATGTTCTGCAATTCACCATTACTCAAATCAGAACTAGAAATTACAAAAGAAGTGAAGAAGCTCAAAATAGAAAAAAAAAAATCTATTGCTGCAATACTCACTTTCAATCCGGAGGTACCCCTACCACTCTTCCCCATCATTCCATGCTTTGGTCACTAGTATTCTACGCTGAATGACAGCCATTGTCATTTAAACCACTTTCTGTGAGCCCAGGCCTGTACAAATCTTTTTTTTTCCCCAAAGCAAAGAAACAGAGTTCAATCTTTATCAAAACATGCATCAAACTGATCACTTAATTGGATTATTAAAAAGAATCATCACAGAAGAGTGTGCCATTATAATGTGCCTCTCTATTGGAGCATAAAATCCCACTATGTCTGTCCAGGTCTCTGCACACTCTCAGATGCACTCACCCTTCTCAGCTTGGCAGCTGCCTCTCCGGAGCGAATGGCAGACAGAATGTTTTGGCGGAGCTGTTCTGGGTCAGAGCTTGGAAAAGAAACTGTGGTCTTTTTTTCGGGAACAGGAGGTGGACTATGCACTCTGTATTTTAGTTCAGGGGTTAGTTTCTACAAAACAAAATTCCTTGCAGTAACACCATTTAAGAAGTTAAGAATATTAATACAAATCACAAGCAAAATACAAACAGGGATTTCTTAAGAGCTCATGCACATGGGCTTTATTTTTTACACACAAAGGATGCATATATGTGGGAAAAAAAAAAAAAAAAAAAAAAAAAAGGTGTGTATGCATGCTGCATTCAAAAGGTGAACTTCAGGCAGATATAAAAGACACAAACCAATGCAGCTCTAGATCATTAAAATAGAATTCCGGGATATATCTAGTCTTAAAACTGCTCCCTCCCCCCCTAACACCTATACTAACCTGTGGAATCAAGATCTGTACACTTACCTACTGTATTTTCAGGCTATTGCGGCCCGGTCATGCAATCTCCCTAGACAGCCAGTGCTGGCAGGAGGGGAGAGGAGAGAATGCTAGACAATGGCTGGAATTCCCGAGCAGTGACATCACCCATAGGCTTACTACGGCCCATTCACTGTCAGCCTGACCGCCTCTCCCCTGAAGAAGCCACTAGCTGACACAGGGGAGAGGATTACATGGGATCACATGACCAGACTGGCCTGAAAATAAATATACTGATCTTTCTTCAACAGGTTAGTTAGTATAGGTGTTAGGCGACAGGAGGTGACAGTTTTAGGATTAGTTAGGTATAGCCTGGAATACGAATGTAAAAGACAATTTACAACTTTACAGTGCAGCAACACGCTGCCCAAACATGAAAAATCAGATGGAGCCTAATTTTTTTTTTTAACACACTATACCATTGCATGTTGCGGCGAGCTACAATGCAAGTGTGTTGCCTTACAGCATTAGGGTGGCATTCCAAATTAATAACACTGCAATGCAGTAACGCATTCTATGTGTGTTACCGACCGTATACTGTGAAAGTGCACGTTACCATGACACAAAAGTCTAACTAGGCCCTCGCCCAAATCTGAATTTAGACCTAGTATAAGGATTAGAAGAGGGAGAAGCAGCACAAGGAGCCAGTCAGTTGAGCAGCAGTGCTTGTGTGCTAACAAAAGAACATGCTGATAGAAAAAGAAAGCAAAGTGATAGAGATTAAATAAGTCTGCGGTTTCTCCGTTCCCTGTTCAGGTACAGGCCAAGGGAGGAGCATGACCTGTAAAGGTGTCACTTAACTGCAGCAGAGAAATTAATTATACAGGGCCTCAACGTTCAGAAAATCTACAATGTTCTGGGGGCTTTAAGTAATTCTATAGCCAAAAATGCAGAAAATGTGTGCAAAACAAATGCTCTAGAGGAGGACTTGTTAATTTTAAAAAATGTACACTGCCTTAGACCCTCCCCAGACCCTCTCATACGTGGGGACCTTTTAATTCAGCTGTGAACCAAAAGGTATTCCAACATAGTACACTCATAGAACATCACAGTATACACAATAGAGACACGCTGATTAGATTTCACCAGCAGGGACAAGTGAAATTTAGAATAGCAGCCTCCAGTAGACAATGGGAAGACAATAAATCTCTAAAGCAGAATTAAACTCCGCTAATTTTTTTTTCAATGAGCCCCCAGGTGGTTCATGCCATAATGTGCTAGTATGCACAGCATATTAGTACATTATGGCACACTGACTTGTCAAATGAAGTCCTCCAGTACTGCAGTGTCAGGACTCTGGCTGGTCCCAGGCGCTTCCATTGTTGCCTCATCTTTCTTCTGAGTTCACTTTGTTCAGCCACTTGAATGGGGCAGGGGAGACCATGCACACAGAAGTCATTGCATTGTGGTATAGAGCAGCGTGGTAAATGTACTCTGAGCTGAAAATGCGCAGCTCAGTGTACATTATTGGTGACAGACAGGGAGAAGTATTTATGACAGAAGAGACCACTACAGTCTCTTCTGTTATAAAAACCCTGCCCATCAGTGATTTTTCAAAATTGCGAGTTTAATTACTACATGGAGAGTTATGAAAAATTTCAAACCAGTGGAAAACCTTCCTAGTACATTTACTGTACATACTGTATGTACTGGAAAACAAACTATGAATAAATATCAGAAAAAAGCCCATTAGCACGAGTTCTAAGAATGTGACAACTGCGAGAAAATTAGTAAAAATTAACCTGTACACAAAAAATAAATGCAATTTGTTAACTGCTTAAAAAGACATAAATTATTTTAATCAATAATGGCAATCATATCCAAGGACCACATGGTTAAATAATTTATCAATTACTAAGACAAACAATGACAGTTAAGTAACAAAAGCATTGATATCCATGGGTGTACAGAATGTGATTCTGGAATATGAACAGAACCAGATATGGTGGAGTGGAGTCCTGGTGACCACTGTCCCTGGAGATCACTGTCCACAGGATCCAGAAGACATTGCAGGATGCCCCTACTCTTGCATGCAGGGTCCGAGTACAGCCTCATTTAGCCATTAGCCTGTAGTGACCAATCCAGGTGAAGTCCTTCTCTACCCTATCAAGGTTGGCAGGAGCAAACCAGAAAAATTGGGACTTATGCAGGCCATAGATGGGGAGAAAAACGGCAGATTTTCGGCCGATTAACGAACTATCGGTCGGTCTAAAAAACTTACCTGACCACCAATTATTACGAAAATCGGCCGATTAATGAGTAACCTATAACGGGAAATGATGTCATTTTGTGGCCTTTGTGATCCTTTTTCGGAAAACGATCGTTCGTTTTTGACCATCAATGAGGATAAAGTCGGGCGTTTTTCGAAAATTTTCCAACATCACCGATAATCTGAAAGTACAAAATACACGAAAAACGGCCGACAAAATCGTCCACTAACGATAAGATAATCGGCCGGTTTTATTTTCGGACGAAAAATCGGCCGTTTTTCTCCCCATCTATGGCCTGCATAAGCCCTTACAAGGAAAATCTTCAGAAAGCATCCATAGCCATATTCATCATTTATGAACACTAGCTATAATATGAGGCTTAGCTGAGCTGGGCTGGGCCTTTTATTTAGCCAGTGTCCATTCAACTAAAGGTGTTAGCATAACCAAAGTAGTCATGAATATCAAGTGTCCTGTGATGTACGATTAAGAAAAAACTTTTGGCTTAGGTACACTTTAATCTCAGAGCTTTCGAGTATAAAAAAAAGAAAGTCATACATTTTCTCAGTTTTATTTATAAATATAAAGATATGCTCCATGGCTGTTTAAAAATGTATGATGGTGCAGAGATCTGACTGACTGGCTCTTGGATTCTATATTAATCTGTCCTGTGTATAAATATCACAGGTACTGTGTTGGTATTCATTTAACAGGTCAGTCTCCGAAAGGTCTGTTATCTATGGGAAGATGCAGGTAGCTTCTACGAGTCTGTGGATTTCACCCTGTTAATGACAATAGTGCTTTAACATGCTCTGAGGGAATATCCAGCTGTTTACACTTTTTTTTGAGGATTCCAACTGTTGCTGTTGTCACTAATCCACTTTTGATAAACAAATTAAATAAAGGGAATTCATTTAGCAGGTGAAAATTTTCTGATTTTGTGTAATATAACCCAGGGAATTCTACAGAAAGAGTGAACCTATGTTTTGTCTATATAGGACAAAAAAACTGTTGCTTTCAAGTTCCTTTCAGAGCAGCATAAATTTTTATTCACCACAGCTCCATTCAGTTGCTGATAGTGACTAAAGGAAGCCCTGTACAAATGACAGCTCTGAGCCAATCACCTATTCCCAGTAGTGGCACGTGAGACAGAGTAACAGGTTTCTCTATATGAAGAAGTACCAGCATGTCCTTTGCTCCCAGCGGCTGAATGGAGTGGTGGGGCAACACAATAAAGTTGAGTATGTGCTGCTAGTGAGGGGGCATTGAGGCAAACCACTTGCTATGCCCCACAGACAGGGAAAGAAACTTGTTAGAAACATGTTTAGCGATCTGTCAAATACTTCAAACAATTGTAAAGATGTAAAGTAAGAATAGAACTGCATGCAGACACTATAAAGTGTCACACTTTACCTGCACTGTTAAAATGTTTTCCTTCCTTCCTAGTGTACTACTGGAGCTCCTATGAAGAAACTGACCATTTATTGGTTGGTATTTGCACATGCACAGACATGCCATGAGCAAAGCACTGTGGGATATTGAAGGGAGTGTGCCTATTTGGCATACTTGGAAGTGAATGGTCATCCTGAGGATGCAGACTTTCAGGGCAAGATGTCTACTATCCAATATCATTTTACAACATCACAGAGGTACTTTAGGAAGTAGAGCTCTAAATATAAGCGAATGATAATTATTTTGTATTTTCTGAAGCTATAATATGGAAATTTAACTCATAGGCTAAGCCAGACACCTCACAAACTGTTAAGTTGGACTTAGATCAGCATCATAGGTATAAGGTACTTTCTATATGAGAACTGACACATGGAGCACAGGAAGGAAAGCTACCGGTTCTACAAGTGCAATTGGTCTTGCTTCTGACCTGCTTGGCTACAGCATGCAGAAGAGTAATGGCCCACACAGATTCTATTTAAGAAATCTTCAACAAGTGTATTACGATTACTTGCATGGCAAACCAATAAACGGTCAACAAAATTGTGGTAAAAAAATAATTACAAATACACTTTGGGAAAAAAGAAAAAGTGACTGGAAACACACACACACACACACACACACACACACACACACACACACACACACACACACTTTTTGAAAAGGTTATTCAAGCGTGTATGTAAATGAGTTATAGCAAAATCAGCTCTTTTCAGTATACCAGTTATTACCTCATTTTTTCTATGATTTCCTCTGAACGCTCAGTGAAGACCATGGAATCTTTGTTGAATTCAACTGGTGAAGTGACTGATGACCAACCAATGGGAGCATCCACATTCAATGGCTGTTTGACAGGCGAGATACTAGAACTGAACGACTGAGATCTTTTAACTGATGATGTAAAAGGAAGATTGGAATTTGTACTTGTAAAAGGCTTGGGAGTGACAAAAGTACTTAACTTCTGCAAACTCAATGGAGCAGACTGGCCAGTTGGAGAACTCAAAGTTCTGGTCAGTTTGCTATGTGATGTTGTTGAAAGAACTTCAGGTTTATAATCCCATTGGGCAGTTGGTCTGTCAACACTGTAGATTTCTGGTAAGGTACTGGTGTATTCAGAAAACTTCACTTGCAGAGGTGGTTCTAAGTCAGCATTCTGGATAGGTTCTTTGAACGACACATGCTTTTTGTGTTCTACTAACACACCGATAGAAGATGTGTCACTTAGTACTGGTTTGACATGGCTTTCAAGGGAAGAATATGAAGTGCAGATGTTTTCAGTTTCCAAATTTACTTCATTGATTGATCCAAGACCCCCATTTTTTACCTCATAAGGTCTTCCTGGTAATTCTGATCTATCTCCAGGCAACTTTTCCTCTAAATTGGAAGACACATTTACTACATTAATTCTAGAGGGAAGTGTTTTAATGGTAATCTGAGAAGCTTCACTGCTTAGATCTTTAGGTTTAGCCATGCTGTTCGGCACACCAGCAGAAGTCTTTGTCTTGGCAATTGCAGATGTGACATACATACTGGATGCTCTTCTCTGCATTTGTAAGTAAAAGGAGCTTGGACCTTTGACTGGGCTTGTGGGTTTCTGCTTCGGTTTGACCTCAGGAGCAACTTTATTTGTGTTTAAGAGAGGTGCTGCAGATACACTTCTAGATAAGGCTAGATGGTCTCTTTGACTTGGCTCAGGAACAGTTTTTGAAGCAGTACTGAAAGAGTATGTAGTTGACCCTTCTGGTGAATGGTGTCCATTGTTTATTTCTGACAAAAGCGTGTGTTTTTCGCTTACAGATGATGTATTATTGCTATTTGTAACATGATGACTTATCACATGTTCATTCATTGATCTGTACTCAACATTATGGACATCCTGTGGACTTTCAGATTCCATGTATTGCTCTACATCAAATGATCTCTGAGGAACAATTTTGTAAGTGGTCATTCCGATCTTAGGAAGGTAGTCTCTGGTGATTTCATTAGAAGGCTTGGGATCAGAGTGCTGTCTATAAAATGGGAATGTTTTTGATTGTGAAATCAGTGAACTCTCAACAGTGCTCTCATCAATGGTCTGCGTGTGCATACTTTCCCTGAGATTGTCAACAAATTCCTTCTTACTTGGTTCTTTCCCAGCAATTATCTGCTGGCCATTAAACTGTGTTAGCTGACCTACGTGACCATTAAGTTTATGCTGGACATTGTCCGTGCTACTCACTGTTGTCAGGTAAGTCGATTCCCGAGAATGTAAAAACTCCTCTGCATCATTGTCAAAGTTAACAGTCTGCACAGCTGAATCCTGCATTGTCTGGACAGCTGAATCCTGCATTTTTCCCTTTTCTGTGTTGGTAATTTTAAGATCCTCATGTGTTTCATTCTCTATAATGTGGCGGTAATCGTGAAAAACAATATTTGTAACTTTGGTGTGTTGATCAGAGGGTACAGTTTGGGAACCCTGCTCCATAACTACAGATTTTGTTGTAATTATTTGATGGTTCTCTAGCTCTGCAGTTGGGGTTGAAGTTCTATTTTCACGCTCACCTTTATGGGGGGAAAAAAAAAAAAAAAAAAAGACAACAAAATATCACATAAGCTTCGACACCGCAAAGTTTGGCATCATCAAAAATGTAATACAGATTTGTAACATTTCTGGTATTCAACCTAAACCCAAATTACAGGTTTCAACATTTAGGCAAAAAAAATGGGCTTGTTATGTGATAGCAATACAAAGACTAACCAATATATGGAAATTTTAATAATTCAGAATGTTTCTTTTTTGGTAAGGTTAGGCTAGGAAATAAAGCAGCATTAAACCCCCAACAATGTGTCATATTGCAGCTTATCAATTTTAGATTTGGTATCTACTTTAGTTTCCTTTTATTTTTTTCAGCTGGTGATCAGGCCAGTAATACAGCTTTACGCTGCTTAGTGGGGCTTCAAACTGCCTCTAACAAAAAATAATGAATTGCAACTAGAGCAATTGTTTACAAATTAAACCGACAACCAATTAAAAATCTCCCTTTATTAAAATTCCCCCCAGCCTTCTGACACTACACAGATGGAATGCACACTACAGAAACTATTTTAGAACAACCAAGTTATGAAGAATATGCTATTTAGGTCTTATCTTTGAGCTGTTAATATAAACATCTTTAGATTCAATACAAAGACATTTTTTTTTTACACATTATATGCTTCTAAAGCAAAGTAAGAAGTAGCATGAAATTTTCCTTCACAGTAATAATTTTAAACAGCCATTTTCCATACGTCACCAGGTGACAAACGGAAACCTCTAGCCATGCATATCATTCATGGAAAATGTATCTCGGAACATTTACATGCTTTGCGTCATAAATGTTAAGCTTGATAGGCAAAAGAAAGGCTAGTGTCTGCATTTTTTGTTTTATATTTGAATGTTCATACCATGACGGCCCTAAGGAATGGGTGCAGATTTTACTTTTTTTTTTTTTTTCATCAAAATTTCCCTTATATTATTAAAGAGACCCTGTCACCAACTTAACCATTTGCCGCCCGGCCAATGGCTGTTTCGCGGCCAGCAAAATCCCTCAGTGTTTCGGGTGGACGCCATATGGCGTCCTCCCGGGCATGCGCAGTTTGCGCGCCTGCAGAGCCGTGCACGGACATGGCCGATGACAGATCTGAGTACCGGCCCCGTTGCCAGTACCATGTGACCTGCTGTGCCCAATCACAGCAGGTCACATGACAGTTGTATACAATGGATGGCTTCATTCATGCCATCCATTGTATACTAGTGTGCCTAGCTGTGAATGGTCACAGCGATCACATGCCCAGCTGTGTCATGTGATTAGCCGTTGCCAAATCACAGCTAAGCAAAAAAAAAAAAAAAAAAAAAAAAAAAAAAAACCTGAATGAATCGATGTCATTCAGGTAAATGCTTGCTTATAGCAAAGTAATTATTTGCTATAAGCAAATTGTTTAAAAAAAAAAAAAAAAAAAATACTGATCACTTCCCCAAAGTAGTACAATGTTACTATGGTAACACTGTACTACTTTGGTCCTAGTGAAATATGAAAAAAAATCTAAAAAAAAAAAAGAAAAACGTAATAAAAAATTAAAAATAAAAATTTTTTTTTTTTAAATTATATATATATTTTTTCCCATACTGTCAGTGTTCTTGATCACCGCCATGCCAGTTATATGATGATGCTGTACTGCACTGGTGACAGTATGTAAAAAAAAAAAAATAGTGAAAATTTAATTTTCCAAAAAATGACAAAAAAAACACAACTTCAAAAAACTCGCCATGCCTCTTATGAAGTACGCCGCACTGTCTACTTTGCAAAAAGGGGTCATTTGGGGGATATCTGTACTGTTCTGACATTCTTGGACCTCAAGAAATTAGATTGGCAGTCAGTACTTCAGGATTGATCAATATTCAGATCTATACCAGTTTGTGAACTCTATAACTTTCCTACAAACTAAAAAATACATCCTAATTTGGGTTATTTTCACCAAAGAAATGTAGCAGAATACATCTCGGCCTAAATTTATGAAGAACAATTATTTATTTGCAAACTTTTATAACAGAAACAAAGAAAAACGTGTTTTCTCAAAATTTTCGGTCTTTTTTTGTTAATTTACCAAAAAATAAAAATCCCAGCGGTAATTAAATACCACCAAAAGAAAGCTCTAGTTGTGTGAAGAAACTGGTAAAATTTTAATTTGAATGACAATTGTGCGGTCATACAACATTGTACCCAAAGTGTGAGAGTGCTGAAACCTGAAAAATGGCCTGGGCAGGAAGGGGGGTAAAAGTGCCCGGTATTGAAATGGTTAAAAAAATGCCAAAAAATAGGGCATCAACATACAAAACCTTTTTTTTTTTTATAGAGTAGGGAAAGAGTCCTGCTCCTATGTGTACTGGTGACCACTGTCCAAGAGACTGGAAGTGATGGGAAAAATCAAAAATGTAAGTCATCAGTAGTTGAGAAAAAGGATTTTTTTTTTCAATGGAGACCCCTGTTTCAGTATGAACTGTCTAAAAGGTAATTTCCCTAACTTGGGACAGATTCCTTTTCATGCCTGTTGCATCTATGGGACAGGACAAATCTCAAAAGGGGTACAGATGCGCCCCCCCCAAGAAAAAAAAAAAAAAAAACCTGACACATAGTTTAACGGTTCTATACTGTATCTAAAATCCAAGGCAAAGTGTGTGTAAAATGATACCTAAAGTTTGCAAACATGTAACCTTCAACTTAAAATCAGATTTTATTTGACATCCTTATGGGGTGTTTTTAAAACACGTTATGGGGTGTAGAAATCCTTCCAGAGGTTATCAACCTATTTTACAAGGTTATAGGGCAGGTTCACTTTAGAATAAAAACTCCTTAGCCTCCCTGCCTGACCTACAGTATTCTAAGCTGACCCCCGATCTTCCTAAGTGTTTACTTACTAGTCAACTGGAGTTAAAATTGTCTTTCTCTGTACTGATTTACTTTGCAGTTGTAGGCGTATAAGACTGAAAATAGTATAGAATACTGGCATTAGATTAGAAGGCTTGGGAACAGAACCAGTACCCTTACTGAACAACACAAGACAAAGAGACTGTTATATTGCTATCTAAATGAACATACAAATAGAATACTATAGATTCCCTTGCACACTAGAATGCAGTGCAGGAAAGCCACGATCCTATGCGGCTTCCCGCACTGCATTCCAGTCGTATTACCCTTGCAATCTGCTGCAGGTGTCAGTGCAAAGTTACCACCACCACAAATGCAGTGCGTTTGCCCTCACCTGATCACAGGGTACACAAGTACCATGCGACCCCCGTTGGCATGCATTTCAAAAAGTAGTGCATGCAGTACTTTTGGTGTCATGCGGTGTGATTTCAGCCCATTCAAAATTAATGGGGCTGAAATCGCACTGCACAGAACTGCATGTCAATCGCACAGGAACCACACAGCGTTCCTATGTGATTCACATGCATTTCCCAGTGTGAAAGGGCCCTTAAAGAACTTTTCTCTAGCAGCATCAATCATATGTACAGCAGATGGCAGTGTTTCTTCAATGCGTTGATCAAGAACACTGCATGGAAGATTTGGGCACAAGACAATGTGTTCTTGACCGGTTACTGCCTGCTATTCAGCATAACATTCAATGTCCATACTTACCAATCTTATCATATTCAAGAGTTGTATTTTCCATCACTGCATCATCTCTTGACAAAAGGCTTGACCTGCACATCAATGATATTGCAATATGTTTGAAATTAACAATGCATGAAAAAAAACTTCAATGTTGTCAAATGCATTACATTCCTACACATTCAGTCCTACTTAAAGTGTCCGTTGACCTTGAATTAAGACTTGGAAATATTTTTTTCTCTCTCTCAGAAACACTGGAAGAGTTCCGATCCACTACCCACTCCAGCCACACTGGTGTATAATTTTATATTACACAGAATAAAAGCAATGCTTGGATTCACAATGACTGAGGCAGAGACTACATATGTCATAAAGGAAGACCTGGCAGTAATAGAAGGATTTAAGAAACATGTGACAGTGCTTGCAACTAAATGGCCAATCAGGAGGCCTGACCATTGTAATCCAGAGAGGCGGAGGCAGCTAAATGGCCAATCAGCAGGACTGAACATTAGAATCTAGAGGGAAGGATTCTGTGCTTCACCATTACAGCACAGACAGACTGGATGCTGCAGCATGGAAGCAGCAAGGGAACATGGCTCGGTAAGTACAAACGTCGGGGGTTTCACCATCTACAATGTAATTTTGCCCTAATCGGGTAGTGACGGTATTTTTGTAATCTTGTAAAACATTGCCCCTGGATTTTAATTACCTGCAACCTATTTGATTCTAAGACCTAAATAAAAATGTAAATGTGCCTTCTCTGCAATTATGAGAGTTTAAGGGGGCAATGCATACAGTTTTGTGTCCCTAAGGCTGGCCATAAATGGATAATTTCTTTTTTTTTTCCATTCAGCCAGAAGGCTGAATGAAAACAAATGGATTCCTCCACCCACACAATCGAGGCAGATAGAGAAATCCCTGCCACTGAGATAATGTATTCTGACAGTGCGGACTCTCTGCTGGCAGAATACACTGATCAACAGCTGCAACCAATGAGCAAGAAAACATTTCCAACAAGCCCATTCAAAAGAAGTTGATTGACTTCTGTTGAGTGGGAGCGACCACATGTGGGCAGGGCAGGTTGGATGGTACCCAACTTAAAGAAGCAGTAAGCTCAGAGTCCAAGGAAGTTTATCAATACTGTATTTAGTTGAGTGAAGTCAAGGAATGACACTATCGCTTGCAGAGCTCAGATGTCAGCATTAGCACAGGCAAAAAACGGTCTCAGACAAATGCTAACACAGTCCTTAAAGTACCAGGGTGGCGGAACAGCATAACTAGATTGTAATCTGGTGCATAAAGTACAGTAGACTATCCTCAGGCACATTCAATTACAGCACAGACTGAATCAGTGTTATTGGGGGTGGCATGTGCTGAAGGGGTGGCAAACTGGCAGGTGACTGACACAGGTGGCAGCTCAAAACAGGCCTAAAGCAAGTGGCAGCAGATGCAAAGGAGATCAATGCTGAATACAGCAGGCAGCGGCGTCCTCTAATCTATCTGTTCTCACACTGAAATCTTTCCCTGGCTCTATTTCTCTGTCCATGCCAGATGGGGTTCCTCTCCCTGCACTAACCAGGCCAAATGCGGGGCACTGATGTTTATCAGCACTGCCACAACCAAGATGGCCACAAAGGGTTACTGAGGAACAGCAGCGTCCAATCAGACTGCTGCTTCGCCATGTGAAACCTACGGAGGCTGCAAGGAAACATTATTCTCCTGAGGACCCCACTCCATCCTGAAGGTGACCAGGTGCCACCTGCTGGGTGGAGTGGGAACTGCACCTGCCAACATACACATGGATCAAAATTTGGTAGGTCACAGCTGAAACAGTTGAATTTCGATCTCCAGCTAAAGAATTTTCTTTCCTGTGATAGGTTCACAGCTTTTCCTGGAAACATGTACAAGCCTTCCCCAGCTCTTTCTTTAGATTAAGTACAGATCTCTTGTGATAATGTAGTTATATATCCAGAGATGCAGGCTCTCTTAGTACCCAAAGCCAGGAGTGATATTAGGCAGACTTCATATAGCAGTTGGTCTAAAGCCCGGTCCAAATATAGGGTGGTAACGGCCAGTTCAATAGAAACTGGCCGACATTCGGTCAGTGAGCACAACAGTCGGTCCGACAAAAGCAGGGCAAATGTTCGGCTTCTGTTGAAGGGGCATGACCGAGAAAGGTCTGCCAATCTGCATCCAATTAGTGCTCTCAGCCAATGGCTGAGAGCACTGAACAATTTGTTCTGGTGGAGAGCAGTCCCTTTGTCAGGACACAATAGCTCACCAGGAAGATCGCTGTACTAATCATGGATTGTTAGTACAGGATCTCCTCCCAAGCTCTTCAGTTTTTTTTTCAGCCCTCTGGGTTAGATATAAAAAAAACCCCAAAAAAACAAAAACTGATTGTGTGTACTAAGCTTAAGGAAACCATTTAATTGGCCTCAGACAATCAATCAAATCAAAGTTGACAAGAATCTGCAACTAAATTTGATAAAATCTTTGAAAAGTTGCATTGGGTGATAATGCTACCTCTCACCAACTGGAGCACATATTAGATTGCAATTATAGTCTTTTTAACGTTTCTTACACACACACGCACGAATAAGATCAACTTAAAGTAGATCTAAAACCATTTCTTATATTTCATATAAAAACTTTGTGTTAAAGTGGTTGTAAACCCTTACATATACCCTGAAACAGGCTGCAAAAATTTAGCAGTGCCGAGATGCAAAAAAAAAAAAAAAAAAAAGGAAAAAAACATTTGTATCAGCATTTTATAGAAAAAAAACAATGACAGATGTTTATGATACAGAGTGCATTAGCAACCTACATGTTGTCCACTTAGAGTTTAGCTCTACTTTAATGTCAATAATTTTAAGTGTGTTAATGTTTTCGAAACATTGCATCAGTAGTTCATAAATATAGAATATATGTACATGGGGCAGTCATATTTGATCATTTATACAGGCTCTGCTTAGTAGACCTGTACCGTTACCGTGTTGTACCTTGCTGCTTCTATTATGTCACTTCAAGTGTACCAGAACCAGTATTTTTTCCAATGATTTGGTAGCTTAGCCAAAGACCATGCAATATCTTCCTAGACTAAAAAATCATGTTCAGAATAGCATTAATGAACCAGGCAACAGTGAATCAGAGAGAGAGCAGAGCAGCTGAGTGTAAGTTTGAATACTGAAGTGTCCCCAGTCCACTTTGGGTGGGTTGGCTTGGGTTTTTAATTTACTGACAGCTTTAACAATAGGTAGACTTTGCGCAAAGCTAAAATGCAACACGGCATTACATTCCCAGATAACAAGGATATTGGCACAAAGGCATCATGGCAGTGGTGGTGACCTCCAGCAGGATAGTAATCTCAGTGGGAAAACAGAATAGCTTCGTGCAGGTAGTTTGTGGACCTTTTAGCATTTCAGTACTTGCTTTTGTATTGCGAGAGGAGTATACAACTTACAAAGCAGGGCAGCCATCTATTAGCCATAACAATCCAAAGGAAGCAGATCTGTTAACCTTAAGTGAAGAGCCTGCAGATGGTGGCTGTGAGGGGTTACAGCAATATGAACATTGGTCTTTGCCTTACTAGATGAAGAAACTAAATTTGTCCAATACTTACGTGCCATCTGTGATTATCTCATCTTCTGAAATCTTGGAGAGATTTTCTACATAGGAAACCATAGAAGAACTGTGCATTTCTGGACCTGCAATTTCATTTGTGACCAGCGTTTCCACACCCTGTTCTTCAGCTGAAGATGTACTTATTTCTTCTTTCCCAGAGCCTTTGACTTCTTCTTTTAAATAGGTATTCTCCTCTGACTTCAGAGAGACATCTGACTCATTCTTCTCCTCCATCTTCTGCTGGTCTGACTCAAGAACTACATCTGCTGCAACCAACAGGATATAAGGATGATTAATCTGGGTATTAAAGAGTCTTGGCACCACCAAAAAAATGTCTGGTTTAATTCTTATTTAGGTCTCACTCTCACGGGAGTACCAATCTGTACCCCCATGTGAAGGGCCATTTTAACCCACGTGGGGTGCACAAGTGCTCCATGCAGTGGTGTGAAAGCTACCTATTCAAATCAATGGCAGGCAGGTGGCTGCACATATCTGCATGGATCTTCCAGCGCATTCCTGATGGTACATCTGTGGAGAACCAATGCACAGATTAAAACTCAGTTTGCCTGACAGATATACAGTTGGGGAACTTGGAGATCTGTGTACCCTCTCATCTGTCATTGATTTGAGCACCTGTGCAACTCGTGTGGCTGAAAATGGCCCTTGGCACGTACAGATCAGTACATCCACATGAATGAGGCTACAGTCACAGACCTAGAACAGGCATGCTGTAAATGAGCGTTAGAATTCATCATCTCTATCATTGTTTACAGACTGAGTGAGCAATGAAGTCAAAGCAATAGAATGACATCCAGGCATCTAAAATTATTTAAAGATAAGGTCAGCAATGACATCTACTATATTTCAATCCTAACAGATTCTTTAAAAAACACATTCAACTAACTTAACCCTCAATATGGGTGTAACATGTAACATGTTGAGAATCCAGCACCCCCAATCCACTCCCTCCTTGTGACAGCGGGCGGGGGACCTTCTCCCCGCACCCGCTGTCACAATTTGAAGGCAGTGCAGATGTGTGGGGCTCCTCCCTCTATTCGTATGTAAGGTATGGGCAAACAGTGTGCTGACAGTCTGCAAAAGCCTGACACTGCACTCTCAATCTGCTGATCATGGGTACAATACTTTATAGGCTGCCAAGAAAAAAAACATAAAAAATGCACGTATTTTTTTTACTTGCAAAAAATGTGCATTCATTCATTTTTGTTTTTAAAAGTGAAATTATCCTTTAAAGTGTAGGTTTCAGGTTTGGATACAGGAAGGAAGGTTTAGAACCCCTTCCAAGTTCATACTACTGTATATGGCCTCCCTCTGTTCCTGTGACCACTGTCACCAAGATAAAAAGGGATTAGAAATCCAAAGTATTTAAACTGTCACTAGAATGAGAGGCGAGTAAAGATCTTTAAATGGAGGACACCTGTTCTGATGACAACCTTCTAAAAGGGGAATTCACCTCACTTTGTATGAAATGTATAATGTATGAAATGTATAAAACGTATATCCATAGGGTGGTACTATGGATTAACCATTCATAAACTGTGCCACATCCTATAAGACTATTCAGGAAATGATTGGGGCTCAATGGACTTTGTAGGCAAATAGACATCAAACAAAAATGTAATAAAATCTTTGTTCTCTTTATTACACAAATAACATTACACAAGGACAGAAACAATGTTGCCTAAAAGCGATAGCACATATGTACCATCGGTTGAAAATTGTATGAAATGTAGAAAAATCTTCCTGGCAGCACACAAAGCACAAAAAATAAATGGAGAAGTGTTAAACATACCTAATTGTATTTAACAGGAAAAAACCTTTGGCTCTTCCTAGACTAAACAAGTTATCAAGCAATGGGAATAAGACAAGTCATGCTTGTAAAAGGTACACTAGCAGAACAAGCTCCAATGTAGACATTTCCCCAGGATTCATTCAATATATTCAAAGCAATACATGTCTAGTATACATTGATACTGTGCATTTCTATGTACTATGCAGGCACTGAGGCGGATTAGGTATATTGATTAAAATGTTTCAATATACATGCACAGCAAAGTGTTCCTCTGATGCAGTGTAAGGACACAAACCTGGTCAAGATTTAAACTTTGCTGAATGCCATTATTAACAGACAAACATGGAGTTTTCCTAACGGCTGTTCCTACGAGAAATGCTTTTTATATCAATCGATGATGGTCCATTCTCCAAGTGGGATCCTGAAGCAGGAGTGTGCATTGTGAGATGCTGGTCTTTTTAGGGCACAGCAGCAAGCATTCTCTCCTCCCAACGCATTTAGGACTGTCAGGAAAAATAAACCTGCTATGCATGATTTTTTGGCATGGCATATCCTCTTTTTTTTGCCTAAACCTTTGCAAGAAAACTAACTTCCTGTTTAATAAACTTGCTGAACAACATTGTAGTGACTTTTTCCTAAGGCAAGCCTGCTATGTACATAATTTCCAGCAGGTGGCGATAAAGTACTGTAACAAAAAGGAGTCTTGCCTCTGATATGCCTTCTCTGCATTATTCAAATCTATTCTCTCCCAGCATTAGATTTACACAGGTGCTTTTTAAAGGGGATCTGTTTGGAAACTCCAATGTAAAATAACATGTATACCTTCTGGAGCATCGCCATCAAGGTTTCTTTCGTCACTTTCTACTTTGACATCATTCATTTCTTCTGAAGCATGTACTAAAATAAAAACAGAGGTAATTGTTATTAGTTACTTCTCTGGTTGAATCTAGAACTGTGATCTAAAATTCATTAAATGTGCTTAATAATTGGGCATGTCAATATTAGGAATCTCCCTCTAGCACAACATCAGCATAGCATTAGCTGAAATGTGATTTATAGTCATTCTGGTACATATTTGTGCAGAAAGAACTTTCATTACCCAACTGTGTAAGGGGGAAACCCCCTACAATAAACAATCAAATACTGTTTCATTGCTCCAGTGGAGATGGAGAGAATCTAATTGGTTACTGCAAGTAGCAAAACCTCTCCATACCTATCCCACATTTGATGGTACAACAAGACCCCATTATCTATAGGCCTTGAAGTCTATGAGAACCCATACAATAAACGTCTCTTATTTGCTCTCTATACTGCTTATTATATCAGTTTGTTAAGTGCAAACAAAACCTGTTAAACATTTTATAAATTCAGAGCTGCTGTGTGTCTTCTCCAATTCCTTCCTCAAAGAATCCGTCTAGTTCTTATCTCGGAATATAGAATGACCAGTCTTTATATTGGGAAGATCTGAGAGCAGGAATGGTTGAGTAGTTTAGCAAAATATAATGTGGGGCTGACACTACTCAGTCCGCTGAGTTGTCAGTCCACAACATGACTAAAGGCAGAAGGTATTTTACCTTCATGCCTTCTATGCATTAAAGTAAAAAACCTTCTGGGTGCAGGTCCCCCCTCAGCCCCCCATATACTTATTTGAGCTCCATCTCAATCCAGATATGTGCATGAGATCCATGGCTCTCCTGTGTGTCTCTCTCCTTATTGGCTCACACAGCAGTGGGAGCCATTGGCTCCTGCTGCTGCTGTCAATCACAACCAGTGAGCCAATGAGGAGAGAGCTGGACCGAGCCATGCTCTATGTGTGAATGGACAATGTCCATTGCTATTAGGGGTACGCGGCAGGGAGGAGGAGCCAGAACCGCTGGCAGGGGGAATCAAAAAGAAGAGGATTGGGGCTACTCTGTAAAAAAACCATTACACAGAGCAAGTAAGTATAACATGTTTGTTTTTTTAAATCACAACCTTCAGAACCACAGTCATGATGTTGATTTTTACCTACAGGTAAGCCTTATAATAAAGCTTACCTGTAGGCAAAATGAGTATCTTCTAAACTTGCACAGTTTAGGATCTACTGTAGTGAGCAGCAGCCGGTGACATCACCGGAGCATGCACTCTGAAAGAACGGCATACCTGCAACATTTCTTCAAGCTGTGGCTGCGACTCATCGTGACGTCATTGTGGGCTTGGCCATTCAAGTGGAAGGAAGACTGGGTGAAGATGGAAGTCCTGTCAGTGATGACAGCGCACCGCTGGAGAGCTTTGTTTCAAGGAAAGTCTTTCATAATGTGCTAGTATGCAATGCATACTAGCACATTATGATATTCCTTTGGAGAAGGAACTTTTTTTTGCTTTTTAAGCGTTTACTACCGCTTTAGGAGCAGAGTGTATTTCTGACAGATCAACAGGTATTTTTCTGTACTTGCAGAATATTTTTTATTAAAGTGTCACTTAAAAAAAAATAAAAATAAATAAAAATTCCCTTTTGACATGCACTTTATAGGAACCTGCTTTTCATTGTTTCTATAGAAATTCAGGGTCTGTATTTAGCTGATACACAGGGTTCAGTTTTTACAGATTGGTATTTGTTTCCCACTTGAGATCTCAGCTAATCAGCAGTTGAACATTGCATTGAGAGTCAACACAGAAATAAAAAGAGGGCATACTAGCCTTGTGCATTACCATAAAACCAATTCATTAGGAAATTAGATGAATTCCAATATACTCACAAAGGCAAGTGTAAACAGGCACATCCATATATCCAATGTCAAATCCAATAACAATACTGAAGTGATGCCCAAAAGCTAGGAGTGAGGTTTACGCGTTTCAAGGGCACAGCCCTCTTCATCAGAGCCAAACAAGGTGTTCAAGATGCAATGAATTTATAGGACTTGCATCAATAGAGGTAAGTTCCAGCCTTCGTCTTTTCCCCATCACAACGGTTTGGGGGCATTTGGGTTAACCCCGAAGGAGCAATAAGTGGACTCAGCTTGCAGACCAAATAATATAAAAGTCAATGCCTGTCCAATTGACAGTATCCATAGCCCATGCCTCTCAAAACACTAAAAATTTGTAGTTTACAGATCTTTGGTTTATGGTAATGCACAAGGCTTGTATGGCCTCTCTTTATTTCTGCTTTAGCTTATATATCTAAAGATTCCCCCTATCTGAAGAGGACAGCAAGGTCCATCCATTACCAGTGGAATTGATGAAAGAATTATTTCCAAGATATTAGAAGAAACCTTCCTTTGATTTACTCTATTGACACAAGACTGACTAATTGCATTCAGAAATCAACTGCTCTACATTCCTGCTCTGCTATAATGAACATTTCTCTTTTGTTCATTGACAGACACAACTTCTTCTAAATCTTGACCATAGGAGTAGGACACTAGGCATAAAAGAGCACAGCACCACCTATGGGCAGTCCTAGATGGTATAAACCCCCTCTCTGCTATAGGCAATCCAGTGGCTCCTTGTATGCCCCTTTAAGGGTTGTTTGGGTGGTTGGCTTGTTTGCCTAGTAGTTCCAGTTGCTTTTTGGTTTGCCCACCCCTCATTGAGGCACTGGCTTTGAGACATCCCTATGGTCAAGATTTAGAAGAAGCTGTGTCCATCAATGAACAAAATAAAAAACTGTATTTTTTTTTTTTACTCACCGAGTTCAAAGACAGACAGCACCCACCCCCTCTGTTGGATTTTATAGTTCTAACCCTGCTTTGTAACTAACTGTTGCCTATAGAAAAGAGGGGTTTATACTATCTAGGACTGCCCAGGCGGTACCGAGTTCTTTGCCGCCTAGTGTCCTACTCCTGTAGGGGGCAGTATAACCATGTGGTCAGATTTAGAAGAAGCTGTGTCCATCAATGAACTCAAGAGAAAAGGATTTTACAGTAACAAAAAAAAAAAAAAAAAAAAAAAAAAAAAAAAAACACAATTTTTCTCTGGTCATACAAAGTATATCTGTCATATTTGAAAGCTTCTAAAATGGCAAATTGAAGTACATTAGGGGAAGTTTTTTCTTTAAATTAATGGATATATCCTGCACCTTATGTTTCAGCATTTCATTTTTTTTTTCTTTTAACAAATACAAACTGGGTTCAATGGTGTTTTATATGTACCTGGAGTAATGTGTGTATTAAGAGAACAGATGGCCCTTAACATGATATGACCATTGGAGTGATTTACTTGTAAACAGTAAAAGCTTTACCGATTTCATTGCTATTCTCATCACTGGCCTGCAGTGGCTGGGTCAGTGGAGCTGGTGGCAATGGGGCTTTGCGTTTTGTTCTTCTTATAGAAGAATTAAAGGATGATGTCCCACTGTGCTGAAAAGAGCTAGTTCTTGATCGATCAAATCCTGAAACACACTACAAAGAAGTATGGTAAATAAAAATTTGTTTAGTAAAAACACATTTAAAGCATTCAAAACCCACATCCCTTTTTACGCTAAGCATTCTCTGATTCCAGAACCTATTGCTCGTGCTGCTCCACCATTATCTCCCCAAAAAAAAAAAAAACAGTGCCCAAAGCCTGGGCAGACAATTACTGGACCCATGAATTATCACATGGCGGGATGGGGGTATGTGATAAAAAGCGTGCAAGTACCGACCATACTGCATAAGGTCAGTTATTGTTTTATGGTCATTTACATTTTGTAACAGTGCAGCACTAGTGTTTAGTCTAAGCACCATGGGATGCCTAGCACACAGTGAGCAGCTGTCTAATTAGGATGCTATAATGCTTTATAAACACTTAGGCAAGGTTTTTCAGTTCAGATGTTTTAGCATTCAGAATGGATAACAATTAGATCTTGAAGTAATTAAAATGGTTGTAAACCCTTACATATACCCAATGAAGGTGACTCACCTCAGGTGATACACAGAGATTAAACAAATCCTACTATATAAGTTGTACATGTCTATTTATTGCCTTTTCTTCTCTACATCTGTTCAAAGTGCTGAATTTATAAAGCTAGTCTGAGATTTCAGAAAAAAGGGGCAGAGAGCTGTAATTACACACTGCAGAGCTCAGTGAGGAGAGCTCTGAGAGCCGATTGGAGGAAAGAGAAACACCCACCTCTACACAGCTCACAGAAACAGAGCTGAGGCTGTCAATCTGCTAGAGGTCCCTCCCCATCACCATTTTTCTCTTGGTGTCAGGAAAACTTGTCAGAAGTGACTGATAGAGGAAAGAGGCAGCAGACTGAAATGATACTTAGTGCTCTTGAGACCGGTACACACTATAGAAGGATGTTCTTTGTTCTTGCCTGAGCTTTACAACCACTTTAATCCATGTTAACGCTGCCATTACCACATACCATAATGTGGTTGCTGAACCTGTGTAATAGGAAAGGATTCTGAAGGCCATTCCTAACCCCTACCCTAATAGCATGTAACGTGACCAACAAGACAATCATGTGGTCTCCCAAAAAAAGAGAACGCCCTTTAAAACTGAGCATACTCTTTGGCAGTAAACGTTGACCAATGCCATGAAGCACTGGAATTTGATTCTTCAGCACAGGTATGCACAAACAAGTTCTGCTTGTACAATAAAACTCAGTATAGCGCAGTAGAGGGTTTAATACAAGACAGTATTTAGAAGGGGATCACTCTGCTTTCAATTTGGATTTTCAGTTGCAATTTTAAAATGACAACTCCAACCAACAGCTACATAAAAAATTGGAGCAATTACAGATATCACATCTTTTATTCTATTGCTGCATGTAGGACCTTTCAAAAATGCAGTGCAAAAATGTGAATAGGTACATAGGATTTCAAGGGAAATACTTTTGATGTGTTTTTGTCACTCTGGAAAGGTATTCCAGGACATGGATACAAGAGAAAAAATTTATTGCTGCACTTTATCATTCTAATACATGCAATATTGGGACCTCTTCTGCCTTTCCACCATGCATACGGAGCTGGACACCATGGTCACCCCAGTTGTATTATATTCTACATCACAGGCTGCTTTTACCTTCTGTATTGTGTTGGAATTACTTTGTTTTCGTGTTGTTTTCATCTAGGACTTCTTGGGTTTGAACCAGCGGCACCTACTTATAGAGAAATTTTTCCCCCACTGTAGTCCATCATATTATGGCCCATTGCTTTTGGTTTTGGGTCCTTTTTGAGATGACTGTATGAACGTTTCAAAAATGGTGTATAGTTATTATTTTGACACATGTTTATTATACTATGTCCCAGGGCGGCTTTTAAAAATCATGGGGCCCCGAACGGCCTACCTGATGTGTCCCTCTTCAATTCCACCCTTGAACCCCACCCTTGTCCCTGCCCCTGTTCCTTCCCTTGACCCTGCCTGTTTAGTTTATCGTCCGCATACACCACACAGTGGACAGGGATAGACTTGTGATGGCCATATGGCTCGTCAGATGTAAAGGGACTCATGTTCATTTACATCAGGCTACCTCTGATCTATCATGTTTATGTCTGTAAAAATAGCAAAGGATTCAATCCTTTTCCATTTTATTTTATTTGGACCTGAACAGACATGAAGGTAGGCGTCCACATGAAAAACTGACAGGTGACCCTAAATGAAAAGCTTGGGTGAAAGATTCTTAAAGGGGAGTGGTTGAGTACTAAAAATACAGCTCAGCTGTGCATTTTTACTGCCCTCCCCCAAAGCCAAGTGTAAAATAGCATCTCACCATCTCTTATGATCATCAATATTAGGATAATCCCAGCACAGCAGGAGATCTATAGCCCTGTCACAGTGTGCACATGGCTGTTGGGTGCAGATTTTGGTATGGCTGTGCTACAGTCTGTGACACACAGTACAGCCATATATTTATAAAGTCAGTACCCAGCAGCCACATGACACACTGATAGAGCCATAGATTGCCTGCTGTGCTGTGTAATTATCCTAATGCTGATGATCATAAGACACACTGAGGATTTTGGGGACTCTATCCCGATATTAGTTTGTTGCTCACTGTGTACTGCATGCCACCCGCCGCCACCGGGTTTAGTGCTGTTGCTTCCTGTTAAGTGTCAGCCTCCACACATCAATCTTGGCACCTGGCCTGAGAGAGTGGAGCACGTACATCACTCTGCCAGGGAAGGCAGCAGGCTAGACCTATAACTGAGCAGCAAAAGTTGTGGAGCAAATTATGTATCTGCGCCTCGAAAATGATTAAAAAGTCTGTGCAATCTTCCCACCTCCTAGGCCCCCTATGTTAACCTGATGGGGCCCAGGGAAATGGATTTATACACCCCCTAAGCATGTAGGAGCGGGGTGTATTTTAGTAAGCCCTATTTATTTGGTAGATCTATAAAGCTGCCCGGGCCCCCTGTTGAGATGATGGGGCCCTGGCCTGGAGCAGATGTGAGGCCTTATCAGCAGCCCTGCTATTGCCAATTTAGACAGGAGCCGATTAACCTACCAGTATGTCTTTGGAGTGTGGGAGGAAATTGGAGTAACTGGAGGAAAACCAACATAAGCACAGGAAGAACATGCAAACTCTTTGCAGATAGTATCCTGGCTGGGTTTCAAACAGAGAGAACCAACAGCACTGCAAGGAAAAAGTGCTAACCACTAAGCCACCATCTAGGCAGATTCAAGTATTATTTCTAGTTGAAATAAAAACGGTTTCTTTGCATCTGAATATGTACCCAAATTAATAGTATTTTTGTAAGTTTTTTCACACCATTTTACACAATTTACATGAATTGACAACTGAAATAAATACAAAAGACACTTACTTTTTCTGATTCATCCACACTGACAGACTTGACAACACAAGAGGAGGTACGGAACTGTCCGCGGGGTATAGCCTTGTTCTGAAGGGGGTGCATAGGCGGCAGCGGAGCTCTCCGTTTCTTTGGTACATCAGAAGGCACCGTGTTGGAGTCATAGGACTTAATAACAGTGTTTGCTCTCACAGCATGTGGTGGCCTTGGTTTATTGAGCACTGGAGTGGCTGGAGCACTGGAGGTCTGGAAAGAGGACAGGAGAGTTGGGTTTTGCAAGAATTTTTTCTTTTTTTTCAATTTTTGCAATGGTGCATTTCACAATTTTAGGTTTGTCGTAGTAGATTGATCTCAGCCAATTAGAATGCTACCAGCACTGATGCAATGGATTCAGACTCTCACTGCCAATGACAAACAGGTAACTGCGCATCATTGTTTTTAAAGACACATGCAAGAAAGATCAGCATGATGTAAATATTTTCTCAATGTGGAGAAATACTTTTAAAAACCTTTCATAGTTTGTAATTATATATGTTTAAGGGGGCAGCTATATTTGCTTATATATTCGTGTCCTGCTTTGCAGTTCTACACAGTGAATTTGCTGTACGGGTCCTTCTCCCCTTGCAAGTCTATGGATCAGCTATCTCACTGAATGGAATGTTTTCGGTTTGGCTGATATCAACTTCAACAGTTGCAATGCAGTTAAGCAGAGTCATTGTAATGGTTAAAAAACATGTAAAACTAACATTTCATATTTCTGATATGTGCCTGCTGTGCCATTTACTTGTATGAAAGAGTATCCTGTTCTTTTTGTATTGCTTTCTTTGTGTTCCTGCCACTCCCTGCTTTCCTATTAAAAACTGACCACACTAGGCAGGCGAACACAGCGTGGTCACTTCTCTGGCTGTGCTGTGAACTCTGTGTGCTCTCCTGCAATGAACATATGCTGACATTCCCCCCTTCCTTCCCTGCACAGCCATTCACTGGGAAGATTAGTGAGCTGCTGTTTCTCCTTCCCTAGCTCTTATGCAGCTGAGAACAGAGGGTATGTGATCACTTATAAAAAAAATTATAAATACCTTTTCTCCCTTTTATATATCTAAACACAAATGTTTTACTTTACATTTCTATTTTAAACGGAATAGGTTGTTTTACAAGATGAAAGTTCATATACACGTTATTCTTTCTGCCACTAGTGGCTATTCTTTAAATTATTCAAATAATAACAAAACCAAAAATGTGGACAACAAGCATGTAAACATAAAAAGTCATATTAGAAATTGTTTATAGGTAAACACTGCAATAAGATGTGTTCAATGAAAATATATTAAACACCTTTAAAGGGGTAATAAACCCAAAACCTAAAATGTAATATATTGCAGCTTACCATTAGAAATGGTAGTATTCTTTTTTAGGCTTTTTCCTGTTTTCAACTAGTGATCTGGCCAGTAACACACTTTCTTTATTAGAGCACCCTCACTCTGATTAAGGGAGCACAGGGGGTATCTTTGGACAACAGAACTGTCAGTCTGGGGGAGGGGAGTGCTTGATGCACTAGCAGATTTAGCTACATTAACAAGTTGAAGCTGAATTCCAGGTAACACTTTATAAGCAGTTACAGGAACAGTTTTGTTCCTTTTGGGATAAAGCTTTAACATAAATTAATTACAGATAATCATTGTAAGCATCCCTGTCAGTTTTAAATTGCTTGTCTAAACCATCTAACTGCTACATCTTCAGGACAGCCTGTTCTGTTGAAAAACAACAGGACTTACTGTCAGGATCGCCAGGTGAAAATAAAAGAAATAAATCCTAAAAAGAAAATGAATGCAGTCCTCACATCTAAGAATTGATAAGATGCAATATAATAAAGGCTTGCTTTTGGGTTCTTAAACTAAGACCCAACTTCCCTCCTCTTGCCCACCTCAGATTGATGATCACCCAGTCCTAAATGTGGTGGTCTATGCAGATGGGTATCTCCACAAGCCCAGCAGGAAGACTGCCTAGCCATTATACACTACGGCCAGAATGGTGTGCATGCCCAAGTACTGCAGAGCCTATCAGAATTCAGTAGTGTTGAATGATGCCCAGCCTAGAGTAAGCCACAGTGCTTAGAATTGGATGATATTGATATATGAGGTCTCCTGTGTTATAATGTATAGATTTGAAAAGGTCTTACTTGTTCAAAGTAAACTTCTCCTTTAGAACAGTGGTCTCCAAACTGTGGCCCTTTACTTGTCTTTATCTGGCCCTCAGGGCACTATATCCCACCAACATCAACAAAGGGGCAATAATTCCTGCACTGACACCAATGATGGGGCACCAATAATTCCCCAAATAATAAAGATGGGACATTGTGTACTCCCACTGGCCATGGTCTGGCTGCCCTAAAGCCTGAAGCACAGCAAACTAGCCCTTTGTTTAGAAGGTTTGGAGGCCCCTAATTTAGAACATAATTCCCCCTTTCCATGCAGTTTCAATGATGCATGCAAAAACAAAAATAATTTAAAAAAAAAACAGATTCTGCAGTTTTCACAAGTATATCAGTTTGTTTTACTGTTTTGTATTCAGTCTCTAATATATTCACCCCTTCACATTTTTAGCTGGAAGTCTGGTTCTTTGAGCAACCAGCAGGCAGGCTTTCAAACAACAGTTGTTCTCTGTGGTGTGTAAATAATGTGACCAGAACACCCCCTCCCCTTTTCTAGAATAGCACTGATAAGGCTCAATCCACTAAGCTATAAAAGCTGTTATTTCCAGCAATGAGAGCTGAAAAAACAGCCATATGGCTGGAAACACCAATCACAATGGCAAGCTTAGTAAACTGGGACTGTTGTCTCTAAACTGTCACTAAAAATGTAAATACACATGGCAGTTACTGAACCAATGGGGGTCTTTGAAAATGGGAATCATAAAATAAATTATTGTGGAAATTAGTATATTATGGAAAATGTAGACAGGGCTATATGGAAAATAAGGTTTAAAGTGGAACCTTAATTAGAAAATTAAGTCTTGCTAGATCGGTTCAGGCTGGCTGCTTTTGCAGTTATAGCTATGAAAAACAATAAAAATAAGCGCCTATACAGTTTAAAATCCAGTAATATAATGCCTCACCCTGATCTGCACATGCTCAGTTGCTCTGGATTTTTAGGCACTGCTGAATTTGTAGAAGCCGATCTGCTGACAGTCTAAAGACTAAAGTGGAACTAAACCTATCGATATAACAGTTTAAAAAACCAGTTACATTCCCGGCATGCTAGGAATGCTGACATTTGTTTGTGTTCTCAAACTATCAAACCATCAAAAGACTGGTGTTATAACTGATCACATATACAGCACCATGGCAGTTGCAGATCAAACAGATGGCAGCTTCCTTGGCTGAAAAGGATAGAAAGGTCTAGTTCTGCTATAACTGCTGCTCAGGTGTTTGGGCTTCAACAAAATGGCAGCCTCTAGCAAGACAAATCAGGAACAATGCTGGAGGCAATTTACAGCACACTCTAATTTTGGTGGCATAATTATTAATGTGAAATGTATGTCCCTTGCTAAAAGAACCATATTTTTTTATCAATTGTTACGAGTAAAGTTCCGATTTAAAGAGTTTTCCTTTAACTGCTCATAGGTCACAGTAAGGGATCACACAAAAACACACAAAGTAAAAGTTTCCCCTTACAAATAGCAGAGTTTATGAACCTCAAAGTGACTTTAAAGTGGAATTCCAGTCAAATTCTTACTAAACCTAAGCCTACTGCCACCTCCATTCTAAGACTATTCTAAGTACCCAGTAAAAGAAATTATCTGTATACTTACCTATTCTGAAGCTGCTTCAGTCCGGTCACATGATCAGGTCCCAGCACCACCTTCAGTGTAAAGGAGAGGCAGCGACAATGGCTACAGAGCCTGGGCAATGAAGTCACCCACAGACTTACTATGAGGCATCTGTTATTGGCTGGCCCTCCTCTACATTGAAGCTGGTGCTGGAAGCTGGTCATGTGACCAGACCAAAGCGGCTTCAGATCATGTAAGTATACACATCTTTTCTTTTACAGTGTAGATAGAATAGTTTTAGAATGGGACTGGGAGTAGATTTAGCCTTCAAATTTGAATGGAATTACACTTGAATGGTACAAAAGTTGGTAATGCACCACTGGATAAAAACAGCAAGTGGCTCCAGTAGCTTTCTTATGCATATTCTGACTTCATCTAGGAAGGTGCCACTTTAACTGTCCCCTCACCATTGGTCCTTCACTGTTATGAGTGGCCTAATTGACCAAAAGGAAGGCACGGGAAGTTAGTGTTTGCATGATAAAGCTACAGCTGCCACAAGCTGTCAAAGTTAAAAGAAAACATAGCCATGCGGGACTCCGCCTGCCCAACCACATCACTCATTCACAGTGTTCTGTGAATGAGAAACTACAAGTCCCTTCAGCCTTTGTGGCTGTCAGCTTGTAGTTCTCAATTAACTACCACGGCGCTGTGAGTGCCGTGGTAGTTCATTGATTCTTCCTATCTGTAAGTATCAGTTTGTCCGTACAAGGTATGGAATACATGTACAGTCTGCAGGAGACCTGCATAGCATTAGTGATCTGCTGATCGCTGGTGCAATGCTTTACAGGCTCCTACAAAAAACACATTTTTCTACCTGCAAATAAATGTGTATTTATTATTTTTTGTTGAAACGTGAACGTATCATTTAACAATTTATGCTCATGCAGCTGGATGCCTCCTCTGAAAGTGCATGGCGTGGAAGTTTAAAATATGTAGCTTTAGAGGGAATGACTATAATCTTTTAGATCCCTACAAATGCTTCTTGTGGACTATGCTGAGTCTAGTGAAGGGCAGAACATTCTATTAATCTAAGTGACTGTTCATGACTGTTCCATTTGTAGGTGTTTAGTCTAAAAAACAAGATCCCATGAAGAACACAGGTACAGTAATCCGTGTAATCATCTTACCTGATCCCTCTTTTTTTTGGTGCTTCTCCGGAAAAAATTAAAGAACCGTTTGTCATCATTCTGCTTTATCTCCACATTCTGACAAGACTCTGTAAAATATAGATACTTAGGCATAATACAACATCTCTAGCAGTGACATTAGTAGCTTTAATGGACAATATTTTTGGTGTCATTGATCCAGTGTTTTCCAAATGCTTATAGCAGCCTCACGCTGCTAACAGTTGTAAATATGTAGAAGAATATAATAAAATGGCCCAATCTTCATTAAAGCATCTTAAAACTGCCAGCAGTAAAAGCTGGACAGACAACACTGCTCAAAACTGAACTCTGGGCTGGAAAAATGAAGCACAGCTGAGATGCAACTTTGAGAATGGGTCCTGTGCTACTTTGGTGCGATTTGGTCCCATAGAATATGCAAACCACATCCAAAATGCAACCACATTTTCATCAAATTCGCACTACATAATTGCACTGCAAATCATATCACAGTAGTGTGAACCGAGTTAAACTGGCAAGCAGAGATAGAAGTGAATAAACAGACTGAAATCTACAGAGGGAAACCATTGCAAACTTTCTCCAGCCCAGAGTTTAACCTTAATCTGAACCTGTGCATTACTCTTTGTACCATGTTGCTTATACTTCTTATTTGTGGGAAAAGCACGGTTTACCTAAAATATGGGTATATACATATACCAAATGATTCTGGGTGTCTGGCCTAGGTAATAGGCTAATTTCCATAGCAGCAGCCTTCTCAGCTTAAGGCATAAAGCAGAGAAAACTATTTGAGGATATATTTGGAGATCTGAACAATCTGGCACTATGAACTATAGAAGTTTTTGTTTCAGAGGAAATCTTTTACGTTCTCTCAGGTTGACCAAAGGGCCATTATGTTACTAAGCATATAAGAATCTGTGCCTATTAAAGTCCTATTTATTATGTTCTTCTAAAAGTTCACAAAAGAAGGAAGCGGAGACTGAAAAAAAGGTTTTTTTACACTAAAAATACTTGCCTTGTAAAGGTGGCAGTCTGATTTCTGTAGGAGATGTAGCTAAAAGAAAGCAGAAATACATTTTATGTTAAAAAAAAAAAAATATATACAAGAATCTGTGATTTATACAACCATGCAAAAATGAAAATGGTGCAGACTTTGACAGTATGCAACTAAGTTATCCAATATATAAACTCAGCTCTCATGGTAAAGAGACCCTGTCATCAGATCATTCATTTCAACAACAGTATTCCCATAAGATTACATGTGATTTTATCTGTAAAAACCACCCCTCGGGTAGATCTTCCCTGAGACTTCTGCTGGACACCACCATATTGGATTGGATGTTAGCAGCTCTATCAGAGTTGGAACTTTCACTCAGATTAACACTCTCTATCAGGGGTGTCAAACTTCATTTCATTGCAGGACGCATCAGCATTATGGTTGCTGTCAAAGGATCTGCAAAACTGTATGCAGATTTCAGGCATATGCTACATACAGAGTTCAAGAGTATGCAACGTACAGAGCGCGGAGTTCAGGAGTACGCTACATACAGAGTGAAGGGTTTAGGGGTGTGCTATGTGCAGGATTCAGGAGTATGCGACATGCAGAGTGCCAGTTTCAGGAGTATGTGCAGTGCAGAGATCAGGGGTGCGCTGTGTACAGAGTGCAGGGTTGAGAAGTGCACTACATACAGAGTGTAGGGTATACGAGTTCAGCTTTCTATCACAGGCTGTCCACATCTCACTTCTACCCCTCCTCCTTGGCTCTGACCTTTGCACCATTCTCCCCTATCCCCCACCTCTGGACACATCCCTCATCTCTCCCCCCTAAATGCTGCCTTGCATTGCACCTACCTGGCCCAGCTCTAGTACCTCCCTGCTGTTTAGAAGGCTCCCCATCTCTCTCTCTCACACTTGCAGGGAGATCATTGGTCAGCATCTGTCACTGTGCCCCGCTGAGTGCTCGCAGGACAGGCAGGGATCTGTGAGAGCCACAAGCCACCAAGAGGAAAGCTGCTCTTGTAAACAAAAAAGGCTTCTTGTGTTTATAAGTGTCAATGGTGAGCGGGGAGCTGGCATTCAAGGGCTGGAGATGGCAAAATGCAGTTCTACTATGTTACAGCTCAAGAAAATCCCTAGGTGCATGGGCCAGATTTGGCCTACGGGCCGAATGTTTGACACATGTGCTCTATAGCATTCCCCTTCACTCCTCCTCCTGCCACTAATAAAAAAAAAAAAAGTTATGTAAAAGTGGGAAAGGGAGGGAAGAAGGACTTTCTACAGTGTCAACACTGTAGCCAATTCAGAAGGTTTTTAAATACTTGATTATTCTGTGCGTCCATCTGAATTTTTTTTTTTTTTTTTTTAATTTGGTGACAGGGTGTCTTTAAAATAAATTTAAAAAATGAAAAAAAGGTAATGATGGAAGATAACATGACCATGCAAAAAATACATAACTGTAGAAGACATATGAGCTTCACTCACAAAAAACCATGAGGAACTACGGATTTATTACTCAAAAATAAATAAAAATATATGTAGCTGGCTATTATCCAGTTAGTCTATAAATAAGTCCTACAAGAATCATGAACAATGTTCCTATTTTTTTTTCCAGTATAAACACTAGTTCCTGCACCTGCCCCATATTTACAGTAAATGTAGAAAAAGGTCTGGAATAATAAAAGGTCGCTCGCCACGTGGCCCTACCCCTACAGCAATATTTCAATACCATACAGAGTGGGGGCCCTATAGATTTAGACTCCAATAGAGCGTATAGATCTCTCATTCCAAAGCTCCACAGAGATCCCAGTGACGTGGCTAACTACAGGCCAATTTATCAAATTAACAATTATCTAAAATTATTTAGCAACATTTTGTCAAACAGATTACTGACTTTCCTGACACATTACATCCACCATGACCAAGTGGGATTTCTTCCCAATAGACAGGCAGCAGACCAGGTGAGACTAGCTCTGGACCTAATCTCCCTGCTACAGTCCACATGGGATGAAGCTGGCTCTAGATGAGGGATGTTTTTACCGCTCAATATGCGCAAGATGTTAAAGTCTCCTGGCCTTACCTCCATACCTTTTTCAGGTGTTGAAAAGGTGGAATTTTGGACCAAAATTTTTGGCCTTCCCTCATTCTCTCTACAGCACGCCTACGGTGCAAAAAACTTTGAAGGACCATAGATCAGAGCCATTTCCCATTCATTCAACCCATGCACTCGACAGAGGTGCCCCCTGACCCCTCTCCTAGTTATTACAATCGCCGTTTGCCAGGACCCTGATATTCTGGGGCTGGAGAGTGGGGATCAAAAGACACAAATGTGCATTATTTGCAGACGATCTATTCGTATTCATCACCTCTGCACACACTTCTTTGCTGAATTTGTTTTTCCTTCTGGAACGTTTTAGGAGTATCTCCGGTCTTGGAGTCAATTGGGATAAGTCTGACGTGATGAATAAAACCTGACTGACTAGATATTGCAAACGTGTCAGACACAGTATCTCTTTCAGTGGCAACAAACTTCACTCTCTTACTTAGGTAGAAGATTGACTCCTAGTATTTCCTCCTTGTATAAAGCAAACTGTTGGCGCTGTATAAATCCTGTATAATAATAATAATAATAATAACTACCCTGCCCTTTTCAGAAAGGACATGGAGACATGGTCAGATGCAGGCTTGTCATGGATGGGGAGAATCCCCTCAGTCAAGATGACGGTTTTACCCAGACTGTTATATATTACGTTAGAACACCCATCCCAGTCCTATTGGCAACAGATTGGCCTAGCCAAGATGTACTTCCCAAAATATGCAGGCGATTTGGAAGTCCCAGAATTTAGAAAATGTGGCAGCACAACTTTAACAGTTATGTCAACTCCATCATCGGGGATATCGTCCTGACTCGGTGTCCATCAAGGCCCAAGCGTTCACCCCACTTTCCATGGATCTGTTGTTAAGGATCTCATTGCATCGACGCAAAGCAATTCTATGCCCTACTCTCTCCCACTCCCTCAGTTTGTGGGACTTGAATTGCAAACGATGGCCCTTGTGTTTCCCTCACATGCTGGCAGCCCCCCTCCTTAATAACCTCTTGTTTCTGCCAGGACTGTATCCCACTCATTTTAGCTTCTGGGTCAATAAGGGAGTCTAAAGGAGAGGGAACTTCCTTGACCATAAGGAGATCCGTTCATCCCCATACTTTCCGTGCAGCCTGGAGATGCCTCTCTCAGAGAACTTTCATCTGCAGAAAATGTATAATTTGTTTGCATACTCTACAGAAAAACAGTCCTGATCTGACTACACACTATGTTTGAAAACAGATGTATGCAAAGAACTCAACTGCGGGGATGCATCTCCATACTGTACAAACTCTTTACTACCCTGTCAAGCAAACTTTCTTATCAAGTCGCATGGGAGAGGGATTTGGACGTGTCTATTGGGGAGGAGGACTGGCAGTCCTAGAACTCTTGTGTTCACAGAGGAATATTAAATGTTGCTCTGACAGAAGCAGGGTACAATGTATATGTGAGGTGGTACCTGGTTCCAGACTGCCTCTCATGAATGTTACCAGGATCGTCGGTCTCATGTTTCAGAGGCTGTGGCCAGACAGGCATGGTTCTACACATATGGTGGACTTGCTCCAAAGTCCGTCATTGGATGAGGATACATTCCCTTATATTTTTGGTTACCATGGTCAACATAACCAAAGATGCTCACATCGCTTTGTTAATTAAGCTGGTTGAGAATGTCCCGAGGCATACACAAACCTTGATCTACTTTAGGTTTCTGGCAGCGAAAATCGCCATTGCCATGGACTAGAAAAGTCCAATCATTGATAGAGCATTGATGAAACATAAGTTCAATTGGATTATGCTTATTGAAAAGACTGTCGGTGTTCGGGGGGATCAAACAAACCCTATTTGACAAAATATGGACCCCATGGCTCACTTACGTACAGCATGGATGGGACCGACTCCTGGGCTGGTGTGCGCTGGACTCTCGGACGGACTGGTTTTCTTCTTCTTCTGATTTCATTCTTTCCTCTTTCCCCCCCATTTGTCCCATGTCCCTATCTCTCCCCCCATCCTTTCAGTCTCTCCCCCTTTACTCTTCCCTTTTTTATGATTTTTGTCCATAGTTGTCTTGGCTGATTCAGGGTGCACACTGCTCTGAGCATTGATGCTCCCTGGCTCTGTATCTAGACATCTACTGTTAATTGCTAACCACAGCATTGCATTGCGGTCTTATTTTATTTTCTTATTCTAATATTTAAATACTTATGATGCCACATCCTCTGTGGGTTTCATTGGGAGGAGGATTTACATGACGTCAATGACTTGGTCTGATCAGATGGGACCCAGGTGAGCCCACGGCTTCTTCAGGATCAGAGGGGTTGGCCTGACCGCCTGCTCTGTTTTGCTTAATGTCACCTCACTGTAACCATACAGAAGCTGCAGATTTGACATGTAAGGAGGAATAATCCCTATTGTGTATTCTTAGAGCTTTGACTCTTGTTACATTTCTCTAGCCATCACCAAATTTACCCTTCAGGGGGAGGTATGGGCATATACTTAGATAGATATCCATCCATATATATATATATATATATATATATATTTATTATATGCCTTTTTTGTATGTACCACAGTACGTATGTGAATGGTACAATCCGAACACCTATGCACTTGTTAGGTCTTGTTATTTCTTTTTGAAAAGAAAAATTTGAAATAAAAATGATTGAAACAGAAATAGGTCTGGAAATGCTAGAAAGGGGCAGAGGACTTTATAAAAAAATGTAACATCTGCTGAGTACTCAGCCAAGCTCGCCTCCCATGGAGGGTCTTCATCCATTACCTTGCTGCATTGTCATCCCTTGAGCACTGATTAGACCACAAGGACATCATTGTTTAGACCCAGGGTCAGCAACTCGCAGATCGCGATCTACCAGTAGATTGCGGACAGGTGGATCAAGATCTGGGCTTGCTGACCCGCCATCTCAGAGCATCATGCAGAGTGCAATGCAGAGGGACTACTTGCTAAGTTGGAGTTGAAGTAGGGAGCAAGAGCCGCATAAGCTGATGCCTCCTTTGTAGCGCTGGCTCCTGTCCCATGTGAAGTGAACAGAGGTGGAGTGAACTGCACTCCACCTCTTATCTTGGCTTGCGGTCCCTGAAGTGCTGCCAGCAGTAGGAAAGAAGAGATCTTCAGGTCAGTGTGAAGCAATACACTGCACATAATAGTATAAGGCTGCTTTCACACTGATATGCTGCAGTTTACCCACACCACGGGTGCAGTGCAGTGTACTGGCAAGTTTCCTGTGCTTAGCCTTGGCCTTTATTAGCTCCTCCACTCCTCTGAAAAGCGATCAAAGTGTGTTTGACAGGTGATGAGGAGGCGATATATTCAGGTAGCTCTGCACATCTTTAAGGTTGCCTACCCTTGGTTTAGACATTATTTAAGCAGTTAAATGTTATTTTAGACTGGATCACGATAACTGCAGCCCTGATTACAGTGTATAACAAATTTACCTTTGCTCTGATCCAAAGCATAGAGTTCCCTCAAACCAAGGTCATTGAGAGACTTTGTGATGTCAAGAGGTTTCTGTGAGTAGTAATCATGTAGGAGTATTGTAGTCTCAGGATCAAATTCACATTTACTGCAAATAGAGGGAATGATTTCTTGCAATGGAACAAAAGGACTAACTCTCATCACCGTCTTCTGTGTTCTCTTATAGTTGATGACAACTCGAACAGTTTGCTGAAAAAGAAAAATAATATTTACTTTAGATGTTTTTAGTAAAGCAATCTTAGAAAACACAACTGCAATAATTCAGGTTTAGAGAGGGGAGAGATATTTCCAGGCTCACCCCCACCTTGAAATCAACCACACTATGCTTGTGTGATATATTGTAGGCACTGTCAAACAGATTGCTCTCCAGTCTGTGATAATATAATATGGCAAAGCCAGAGCCAGCTTTATAGGCTAAGGAGCATCCTACTCTTGCCAACACGAAGGGAAGGGGCATCCTGCTCCCACTGACAGTAAGGCTAATGACATTCTGCTCCCACCTACACTAAGGTACTGGGCATCTTACTACCACCGACACCAAGGACGTGCATCCTACTCCCAGTTAAGGGGTGCCCCGCTCCCAATGACACCTAAGTAGGGGACATCCTGCTCCCACTTACTCTAAGGTGAGGGGCATCGTACTACCACTGCAGCCTATGTCCACTGACACCAAGGTAAAAGGCATCCTGCTCCCATGAACACCCAAGTATGGGGTATTTTGCTCCCACTGACACCAAGGTAAGGGGCATCCTACTTCCACTGACAAGCTAGGGGGCATTCTTTTCCCACCAATACCTATGTAAGATACTTTCTACTTCTACTGACATAGAAAGTGCAAATATAATTTAACATAGAACTATATCCTGGTTATAAACATTCAGCTGTTTAGATATTTTTTTACAGGCAGTATAATTTTAAAAGAAGTCCTTACTGACCTCTCTGGCTGCAGGCATGATGGAGTAATTCATTTATTCTACTACCTCTTCTCTGTTACAGCAATGCAACCTCATAAAGCCTCTTCAGCACTCGTCACTTCCACAAGTGCCAAATGTCTGTGTCACATGCTGGTTCAAGCTCACTCAATGATGAAGGGGGTCTACGTAAGGAGGACATAAGCAACCAACATACTCCTGAAAGTGTTGCATGCTCAATAAGCTTTTGGAGGATGCAGGGCTGGAATGGAGGAGAGGTAGGAGAAAGGGGAGAATATATGCTGTCTCCTACTGCAAGAACCTGGATAAATAAATTAAAGTAATACTTTAAAGTTGAAGGTGATATTCTCTTAAATATTACCTGTGCCATGCGCAACTCTGGAAAGACAGGGGGAGATTAGAGAACTCAATGCATGGCTGAAGACCTGGTGTAAGAGGGAAGGATTTGTCTTTCTAGAGCACTGGGCTGACTTTACATTGGGTGCAGCCTATATGCTAGAGATGGTTTGCTCCTAAATGGAAGGGGGTCTGCTGTGCTGGGGGAGAGGTTTATGGGAAGGCTGGAGGAGTATTTAAACTAGGATCGAGGGGGAGGGAGCATTAGATTTTAATGGGGTAGACAGATCAGACAGGGGTCAGTCCTTATTGGTGAGTGGAATGGAGAAAGATGGGGGGAGGGCTATGGCAGATAAGAAGGTTCCCATGTTACAAACAACCAGTGTAATTGGTACCATTTGTATGAAAATAAAAAATATGCAAAATACGTGTACACAAGGTGTCAACTAATTAAAGTGTTTGTTCACCAATGCCAGAAGTCTGCCAAGCAAAAGAGGTGAGTTGGAAGCTTTGGTGCATGAAGAGAACTATGATTTAATTGGTATTGCTGAATCTTGGCTTCATTCTTCACATGACTGGGCCAGTAATATTCCTGGCTATGTTCTCTTTCGGAGAGAGACAGGGTAAATAGGAAAGGTGGTGGTGTGTCTCTGTGAGAAGCGATCTCAGAGCGAGTGTGAAAGAGGACCTAGTTTATGGAGTGTGATGAGGCTGAAGTATTATGGGTGGAACTGCACATGGGGGTGCGTACAACAAAGGTAATCATTGGAGTTTGTTATAAGCCTCCCAGTGTTAATGAGGAGGTGGAGACTCAGCTCCTTGAACAGATCAAAAGGGCTGCAAGGGCTGGGACAGTGATAATGGGGGATTTTAATTACCCGAAAATTGACTGGAATAATGGTCCTGCAGGAACAGTTGAAGGGCAAAACTTTTTAAACCTACTACAGGACAATTTTATGGTACATTTTATAGAGGCCCCAACTAGGAATGATGCTCTGCTGGACCTGGTAATCTCAAACCCTGCATAGCTTATTAGGAATGTCCATATAAAAGAACATCTGGGTAGCAGTGACCATAACATGATTTAATTTATTGTTAGCTGTAAACAGCAAGCACATACGGGAAAAATTAAATTTTAAGAGTGCTAATTTTCCAAGACTTAGACTGGGAGGGAATATTGGCATCAATGAACACAACACAGAAATAGGAGTTCTTCAAAAAGACTATATGTGAACACACTGCAAAATATATTCCCATGGGCAACAAGTTTAAAAGGCTAAAAATCAAACCTATGTGGCTTACGGCCAAAGTTAAAAAAGGAGTAGATAATAAGAAAAGAGCTTTAATTAAATATAAAAATGAAGGAACACTATCATAGTTTAAACATTACAAAGAATATAACAGAATATGCAAAAAGGAAAAAGGCCACAAAAATTTAAAACAAAAAACGGATTGCAAAAGATAGCAGGACAAACCCCCAAAAATTCTTCAAATATATATAGTAAAAAGCTCAGGTCCGAGCATGTAGGCCCTTTACAAAATAATCTAGAGTGGGGTTACTGGGGACGGAGGGAAGGCAAATTTATTAAATACCTTCTTCAGCTCTGTGTATACAAAGGGGCATGGAGGAGCTCTTGTCCATAACCCAAACACCCCCTTCCCTCTCTCTGACCACAACCTTATTACCTTCTCTGTATCCTCGTCTTCAAACACCTACCCCTCCAAATGCCAAACTATTAACAGCCGAAACCTCCGCAACCTGAACCCTGCCCCCCTCCACTCTGCAGCTGACCAACTTTACGACAGCATCCTTCCCCTGTCCTGCCCCGACCTGGCCACGACTGCCTATAACAACTCGCTGTCAACCGCTCTTGACTCACTAGTGCCTTTAACCACACAACACATCAGACCCCGACCGCTCCAGCCCTGGCAGACTGATCATACCAAAACTCTCAAACGACGCATTGTGCACTGGAGCGACTATGGCGCAAAGCCAGATCCCAACTAGCGTTAACCAGCTATAAATCCGCCTTCCACACCTACACCTCCTCCTCCACGCTGCCAAACAAGCCTACTTTCTGACCCTCATCAATACCCTCTTCTCCAATCCTCACCGGCTCTTCTCTACCTTCAGCTGTCTACTCTCTCCGCCCCCACCTCCACCCAGCACCTCACTGACCGCCCTCGAGATTGCCAATCACTTCAAAAACAAGATTGACACAATTCGCAGGGACATCGCCACTGCTCAGACTTCCTCCCCACCTATCTCCTCTCACACAGCAACCCCCTCAACACCCCTCTCCCTTGGCCTCACCACTGTCCAGACCTCCACCCCACCTAACATCCCTCACACTGAAGCCCCCTCAACACTCCACTCCTTCGACCTTATTACCACTGAGGTCACTAAGGTCTTCTCTGAAGCCCGCCTCACCACCTGCCCCCTCGAGCCTATCCGCTCACAACTGCTATGACCTCCCTCCTCCTCCATCCTTCGCTCCCTCACCCACATCTTTAATCTCTCCATCTCTTCTGGCACATTCCCCTCCCCTCTGAAGCACGCGCACATCACTCCCATACTTAAAAGGCCCTCCCTGGACCCCACTGACCCAAAAAACCTTGGACCCATCTCCCTGCTGCCATTTACATCCAAACTCCTTGAGTAATTAGTCTATAATCGCCTAAGCTCCCACCTCAACGCCAACAACCTCCTCGACCCCTTACAGTCCGGCTTCCATCCCCTACACTCCACCGAAACCGCCTTACTTAAACTCTCCAACGACCTGCTAACCGCCAAAGCTAATGGCCACTATTCAGTGCTCCTACTCCTCGACCTCTCCGCGGCTTTCGACACAGTCGACCACAAAAAACTACAGTCCCTTGGCTTTAGAGACTCTGCTCTCTCCTGGCTCTCGTCCTACCTATCCCAACGCTCCTTCAGCGTTAACTATAATGCTACCACCTCCCCCTCACTGTCGGGGTCCTTCAAGGCTCTGTCCTCGGGCCCCTTCTCTTCTCCATCTACACCTCATCCCTTGGCCAACTGATACACTCTCAAGGCTTCAACTACCACCTCTATGCCGATGACATGCAAATCTATCTCTCGACCCCTCGCCTCACCCCCTCAGTCTCCGCCCGAAATCACTAGCCTACTGAACGACATATCAGATTGGATGTCGCTCCACTTCCTTAAACTGAACCTCTCCAAAACCGAGCTCCTAGTTTCCCCCCCCGGCCCGCGCCCCCCCCCCCCCCCCCCCCACTGACTTCTCCATCACGTCCAACAATGCCACCATCAGGCACATCCGGCAAGTCAGAGTACTTGGTGTCATTCTTGACTCCAAACTATCCTTCCAGCCCCAAGTCCAATCGCTAACAAACTCATGCAGACTCCACCTCCGCAACATCGTCAAAATACGCCCATTCCTAACTCCAGAAACTACTAAACAACTCATCCACTCCCTCATCATATTACGACTCGATTACTGCAACTCCCTCCTCACTGGCCTCCCTCACCACAGGCTATCCCCGCTTCAGTCGATCCTGAATACGGCAGCCAGACTCATCCACCTTACCAACCGCTCCGTTTCCTCCGCCCCCCTCTGCCAATCCCTCCACTGGCTTCCGATTGCCCAACGGATCAAATTCAAAATGCCAACACTGACGTACAAAGCTGTCCATAATACTGCCCCAAACGACATCACTGACTTAATATCCAAATACCACCCAAAACACACTCTCCACTCCTCACAAGACCTCCTTCTCTCTAGTTCCCTGGTCTCCTCCTCCCGCCTCCAGGACTTCTCCAGGGCATCACTCATCCTCTGGAACTACCTACCCCAATCCATCAGACTATCACCTACTCTCCTCTCCTTTAGGCGCACCCTGAAAACCCACCTCTTTAGGGAAGCCAACCCCGCCCCCTGCTAATTGCCGATCTCCTCCACTCTTCCTACCACTCCATCCCCCACAGCTTTTCCTCCCGTACCACTATCTCCTCCCTCCTAGATTGTAAGCTCCAAGGAGCAGGGCCCTCGAACCCCTCGTGTACCGCATTGTATTGTTATTGTACTGTCTCATATATTGTCTCCCATTGTAATGTACAGAGCTGAGCGAACTATTGGCGCTATATAAATACTGTATAATAAATAATAATAATAATGGGCATGGTATTGACACAGCTCCAGATGATCTACATTGGCTCACAATTGATATGATCCAGAAATATTTTGACAGAAAAAAAGGTGAATAAAGCACCTGGACTGGGAGGCATACACCAACGGGTCCTTAAAAAATTAAGCTCTGTCATTTCAAAGCCATTGTTTCTAATTTTATGGCCGATTTTAAAATGAATTAATTTCTGAACGATAACCACATATACTGGCCAAAAATTTGTTTGATCGAAATAAGTTTTTCTTCCGGCCCCTTTGAATTTTCCTGTCACTGCTGTTGAAAACAATGATCAATTTGACCCCACGTATGATTAGAAAATCTAACAAATATTCCTGAAACTAAAATTCTCGAACTAAAATCGATTTGTGTATGGCCAGCTTAACGATTAGAAAATCAAAATGAATATTCTTGAAACAAATATTCTCGGCCGAAAATCTGCATGTGTATTACCAGCCTTAAACTGGTCATTACGCATGCAGATTTTCGCCCGAGAATATTTGTAAGAAAAAGTTGTACGAAAATTGTTTGCACATTTGGTGAATAGACAAATGTCGTTCAAAAACTGTCTTTTGCTTTGAACATTCAATTTCAAAATGAATGTAATTTCTGAATGAGAACCACATACACTGGCCGAAAATTCTTTTGATGGAGAAAAGTTTTCCTTCCAGCCCCTTCGAATTTTTCCATCACTGCTGTTGAAAAACAATCATCAATTTGACCCCACCTCAAAATCAAATGAGTATTCTTGAAATTAATATTCTCGAGAGAAAAATCTACATGTGTAGGGCCAATTTAACTTTTCAAATTCAGTTGAAATCTTTTCGATTTCAAATGACTTTTAAAATTTTGTTGTTTTAAATCCATTTCGAAAGTGAAGGACTTTTCGAATAGTTGAAATGTTTTCGAATTCAATTCCTACACGAATTACCAAAACGAATCCCAAAAATGAATGGAACAAATTTACCGAATCAGACTACACAAAATGTGTTAAGATTTTGAACTGAAACAATTTTTTTTCATTTTGCACGTCTACTTTCTCCTAGCTGCTACCCTATGGGGCCACACCGAAGCAGACAGTCACACAAGCTTATTTTTTCCTATGTGAAATCCGAGCTTATTAATGCACACAAACAAGTAAGCCACATGATAGAAATGTGAGACTCCCTTTGCTATCATGAGATGATGAAACCATAAATAAACTCCCAAGCAAATATTTTAAGAGAGGAAACTCACCTCTGGCATAGTTGGGCCAGGTTTTTTTTTTTTGTCTGTCCTCCAGATTTTTAGATTTCAGGATAACTTTATCTACCTCCAGCATTCCAATTGGTGTGTTCGGTTTAAACTTGAGCAGGTTTTTATCTGATGAGAGCAGTTCTATCGTGTAGGTGGATGGGTTCAGATGATACTGTCCACAAAGGAATACCAGCAGGTCCATCATGGGTTTGCTGGTTAAAAAAAAAAAAAAAAAGGGTACAGTTTATTGTTAACTAAAACCAATTGTAAAGTTATGAGTCAGCTGTTTTTCACCCGCTTCCACTACCCACGGTTTCTCAGCTTTGTGGGGGCAACCCTAATAGGATAGCTTCAGAATGAAAAAACTGTAGTCTACATTTACTGCAGAGAGTAAAATAACCAGTTTTTATAGCTCTTGTAAACTGATAGCGAGAGCTCCCGATTTGTGTCCCCAGGTTTGCACATCTGCTGTGACAGTCATAAGGGGCTTCTGTTATAGTTAGGCTACTTTCACACTGATCTGCCGCAAAAACACCTCAAAAACGCAAAGGCATTTTTACAGCTTTTTTAAAGGATACGTGACATAAAACTGCACCAAAAACGCTTCTCAGAGGTGTTTTTCAGACGTTTTCCAATTATTTCAATGGGAAGAGGCGTTTTTGGGATTTTTTTTTTTTTTTTTTTTACTCCCCAAACATGCCCCAAAGATGCTGCAACCAGGAGTTTTTACACCACACCACAACGCCTATCCTTCAATAGCCAAAACTTGAGCTGACAGCCCCCCCCAGCCATTCACTGGGAAGCTCAGCGTACTGCTGTTCTCCATCCTCACCTCTCTAGGTCCCATATGCAGCTAAGAACAGAGGTTAGGTGATCGATAGAAAATTAAACTGCTCTAAATACAACCCTCTGAAAACAAAAAGAAACACACCCACCAACTAAACATGTTATTTTCAATCACATTTGTTCAAGCAAAAAGAACACCCAAACAGCAGAGTTTAAACCTTTGTGAAATTTCATTTTGCTCACCCCCTATTAGCCAACCAATTAAGAACGCACAGTTAGCATTCCCGTTGTTCTATAGCATAACTGTCATCTGTTTCCGACTTTCAGTACTGACCACTCAGCTGATAAAAAGCCTTCATTACTTTATAATAAGTTCTCTTCAGCAACCCCCCCAGTAAAAGAAAATTAGAGAATTTTAAAAAAATTCATCAGCTACAAATACTGTAGCTGCTGACTTTTAATAAAAAGGACACGTATCTGTCCAGGGATCCACCAAAGCTGTTCTTCGCTGCCTTTGGGTTCCTGGTGCCACTATGCTAACTGTGGGAAGCTGGCTGTGACTCCTTTTGGCTTCAGAGCCAACACCCCGCTGCACACATGTGCGAGGCACGCTGTGCCCTGGGAATGGTCCCGCAGCTTCCTTCCACCTGTGAGATGTCCCTAGAGGCTGTGGGTGGGGGAAATTCCAAATTTCCACTTGGAACGTCAAGGCAGCCCAGGATGAAGTGGGAGCGGGTACTTGTCAAAACCAAGTACCTGCTCCCCCTCCCCCAAAAAAATTGTCCAAAAGTTGAAGGCGGGGGGGGAAAGACAAAAGGTAGAAAAGCGGGCCGGGGGGGTAGGCAAAAACAGAGCAACGTCAACCCCACAGAGCGCCTTACTTTCACTCCCATGCTGCTCTGATCAGCTGCTAGGAGAAAATACCTGAATAATTCAGCACTTTTAACCTGTTCTGGGTCTGGGATTCCTAATATTTAAGCCAGAGACAACACACCTTTTCAGAATGAGGTGGTAAGAATAGTACCCTCATGAGGTTGTAATGTGAGGAAGGACGCCGCTCTAACTGCTGGTCTTCTGTGACCAAGCCCCCAGTGGGCGGGGCGAAACATGTCAGTGGGTATGGCCGGAGCGACGGCTGAGGCCATCTTCACATAGGACTCCATTAGCGGTTAGAGCAGCGTCCTTACTCACATTGTGCCCACATAACTGGAGACATTTTAGGACATCGCTCCCCCTTTCATACCAGTACGGTGGTCATTGAGCTCCAGCTTGGAATGGCGCCATCACGCTACATACATTGGTTTACCCTCATGAGGTTGCCTTTAAAAATGTTAGCAGCTATGTGAAAGCCATTAATCATAATTGGGAGTGCTTTATAATAAGCTACTCTGCTGTAACAAATGCCCCCATCTTTCTGTTCTGCTACAAATACAACCGGACTACAATCAAACCGAACACAACAAATCACACAGCCACTTACCTGCCATTCACTGTGGTGGAGGTAACCCTGTCACCTGGAAGAACTACATTGAGTTCGATGTCTCTGTCAATTATATTCTCCTTCTGATCCATGTTATACTGGATGGTGTCCGCAGAATCAATCGATGGCAGGCTGTCAGAGTGCCTCGTGTCCCCAGGAGGAAGGGGAGCCTTGCCTTTGGCTTTTTTCCTGAAAATAAAAAGACAAAAAACACTTTGTTTAATTTTCACTCCACATATTTTCAGCTGGCAAGTATGTTCTGTGCAAGTGCAAAGATTCCTCACCCAAGAAAAAGCTTGCCATTCTGAGTAATATTAAGTGGTTATAAAGCCTAGACATTTTTTTACCTAATATTTTTCCTAGCATTAAGGTAACAAAAATGTTTAGGTAGTGGTATACCCCCTCAACCTGCCATACTTGCCTAAGCCATCATTCCATTCAGTGCTGTGCCCATCTGCCGCAGGTCTCTCTCCTCACTTCCTGGTCTCACGGGCTTTGCTGAGTCAGCTGCAACCATTGGTTCCCATTGCTGTCAATCAAAGCCAGTGGGAGCGGGGGTGGGGCTAAGATCAGCTGTCTGTGTCTATAGATGCAGGCAGTGCAACCCAGGAATGAGCCCGCACAAATGCCCCCATAGGAAGTGGCTTCTTATGGGGACACCAACTGGAGTGGAGGAGCCAGGAGCGCCAGTGGGGATAGATTAGTATAAACCTGTTTACTACTTTTTTACATTTTTGCATTTACAATCACTTTAAACTTGTATATGGTATATATACATACACATTATACAAGTGGCATCCGTTCATGCAAAATATCACATCAAATGTATTTCTAAAGTAGTTAAAATTACAAAAGACCAATAGTGGCTAGCAGCCTCAGCATTGATCAGGACATCACACCATAGTATGCAGGGCTAAAAATATATATAAAAAAAAAAAATATATATATATAAAAAAAAAAAACGGTCACAACCTGATGATACTGCCAGGGCAAATAAAACTGGGCATAGCGGCCTACACTGCTTAGGATTGAAATGCAATGCAGAGGTGCTGTGTTGTCAGGTCAAAACAGGAAGTTAGGAGCGAAGTGTATTTCTGAATGGCTTAGAGCTATTCTTCTGTACTTGCTATATTAGGAATTAAATAAAACATATGGAAATCTGCATTGCAGAGATGTTCTGCATGTTTAATCTTTTTATTTGCCCTGACAAACTAATTACTGTGAAGTGCAAAGCTTGAGTCATAGGATATAAGACACATCAGACCTCCAGCATGGGCTCAAAACTAGCATTTGTACAGCTCCCCCTTTTTGAACAGGTGGGTGTGACATTTTAAGGTGAAAATGCACACATAGTATTTATAAACATGTGCCAAATGGATTTTGCTGGTCAGCCAACTAAATGTGTTGAAAGCAATTCCTATCATATCTCAACAGAGTGACTCATGTACAGAGCACCCTCTAGTGCCCGATTCATGCATCTCTATATTTAAATAACAATAAAAATATGGAATATCAAAAATGTAAAAGTCACAATGTAAAGGACTGAGGAAAATACTTCAATAATAGCTATATACTATTGCTGGGGTCTCCAAACTTTCTAAACAATGGGCCAGTTTACTGTCCTTCAAATTTTAGGGGGGCAGACTGTGGCCAGTGGGAGGAGAAAATGTCCTGGCATCAGTGGAGTAAACAATGCACCATCATTGATATTAGGGGGAGTAATAGTGCCCCATTGTTGGTGTCAGTGGGAGCAATAGTGCCCCATCGTTGGTGTCAGTGGGAGAAATAGTGCCCATCGTTGGTGTCAATGGGAGGAAATAGTGGACCGTCATTGGTGTCAGTGGAATAAATATTGTCCCATCACTAGTGTCAGCGTAAGGACTGTTGGTGTCAGTGACAGGGAACTATGCCCCACTCTTGCTGAGTGTAGGAAGAATAATGCCCCAAGAGCCAGATAAAACCAAGAAAAATGCCGCATCCAGTCCCTGGGCCGCAGTTTGGAGACCACTGATATATAGTTTAGGTATTCATACTAGACAGCATGATAATCAAAGTTCAAAAGTTCTTTAAAGAGACCCTGTCACCACCTGCTACACTGTAAATTAAACACAGACAGGAAATCTGTATTTAGAGTAGTTGTAGAAAATCTGACAGATGCAGCAATTTGACTCCAGTAAGCATGAATATCAGGATGGTCAATGGGGAAGCTGGAGGAGACCGGAGTCCTCTTTATCCAGCACTCTGGGAAGTGTACATTTTTTTTTTTAGCAGCATTGCCAACCTGGTATCCAAAATGCTGCAGCAGACAGGGCTTCTGTAAGGACTTCTAATGCATGTTCCTTGTCTGCATTTAATTTGCAATGTAACATATGGTGACAGTGTCTCTTTAAATTGCTTGTCAGCTCCAAAATCATTCTACCGTTGAACCAATCTGCCCATCTGTAACAATAGGTGAATTAAAAAAGATTTTTTTCTGACTAAAGTGGGGGAGAACTAAAATGTGCATTTTCTATTCCTTTTTTTCAGAGGGATGGGTGTTCAAAAAAATGTGGAGAAAATAATGCTATGCCTGTCTCCGTGCACAAGAAAATTTCCCTTACTTCCCTTCCCAGTTGTCACTGAGGCAGGAAGTAAGGGGAGTCTGAATGGAAATACAAGCCAAAAAAGTCTGATTATCCAAGGCTAAAAAAAACACTTTAAACGTGGAGGGCAGTGGTCTGCATTGCTGTCAAAGCCATTGCTCTTCTGTTTGGTGGCCCCAAGCATTTTGTGTGAATACTGGTTACATTGAAACATCAAACTCTTATCTACATTGCGTGAACATTTTATTAATTTATTTTTATTCCATCAGTTCAGTCTTGGCAGGGCAGCTGATGCTTGTGATACATGACAAATATTTAATCACAAGATTTAACCATATTTGTCAGATATAAAAAACACAGTGCAGCCATTTTCATCTGTGTTCTCTGGAAACCTCATCAAAACCTATTTTAGTTAATATTGCCATTACATGACTTTTGGCGTGAATAGAATGGACAGACCACGTATATGGAAACAACAACATTAAAACTGTATTAGCCGGAAACAGAAAGTCGTTTTACGGAGTGACAGCATTCTTGTTTTCCCATCATAACAAATACATTTAAAGCTGAACTCCAGGGAAATTTAAAAACTACCCTGCAGCGGAGATCCCCCTGGACTGCAAGGGGTTAGATCAGCAATGGGCAAACTACGGCCCGCGGGCCGTATACGGCCCGGCGGACCTTTTAATCCAGCCCGCGGAGCGTGATACATTGGCTGTCAGGATGTGTGTAGGCGGGGCAGCGTGACGAACGTGAGGGGAGCTAGGCTCCTCTCACAGTCCACCCTGAAGACCGGAACGGCGCGGGAACACGGCGAGAGGAAACGCGCGGAGCAAAGGTAAGTAAATTGACACAGGGGGGACTTGGCTTACTACTTGGGGGGGAATAGTACTATGGGGGATGAATTAATATGGGGAATGAATTACTATATGGGGGATGAATTACTATGGGGGATTAATTACTATATGGGGGATTAATTACTATGCTTACTATGGGGGAATATTACTATACTTACTATGGATGACACATACACATCATTCATCTACTCTTGGTCCGGCCCCCGGGTCCAATATATGAACCCACTGCGGCCCTCAAGTCAAAAAGTTTGCCCACCCCTGGGTTAGATGCTTGGTACCATTAAAGAGCAGTGTAACTTACTTATCCTTGCCTCCGTGGTCTTCTTCTCTCCATGTAACTGGTCCCCCGAAGCTGCTTCTCCAACACTGTTTGGCGTTCGAACTCTGACATCATGTACAATGCAGGACCAACAGTTTTGCATTGTATCAGAGGACGCTAAGGAGTGTAGGAGGAAAGGGTAAACCTGCTTTTTAATGATACACTAGATCAGCCTTTGGTGCCTTCTGGGTTCTCCAGGGGTGCCTTGGCAAAATGCCTAAACATTTTCCTGAATTGTCCACAAATTGTGTAAAAGCCAGTGGGTGGAACAGGCCTGCTTTTTTGTTACACAAAGGTTTTAATTGTACAACATTACATCCTTGGACACTGCAGGCCAGCCTCCAGTGTCCTAACAACTGTTGACGTTATTGGCTGACAAGGAGATATTGGCCACCTGCACTGCATTCTTGTTTGACCCCCCCCCCCCGTCCCTCTTTGTCACCACTAGGGTCATGTTAGCTGGGTGGGGGAGAGAAAATGAGGAATAAAAAATGCTGGCATACTAGTTCGGACCAGTGTGTATTTGCTTTGAAAAGAATAATTCGCCTTTAATATTGGCTGTCTTATGTGTGTAGATGCTGCTGCAATATGGAAAGCCATTAGTTTAGAGGTTTACATTTTACAATTGGGTGCCTCAAGATTGTACAGGATTTTAAAGGGTGGCGTGACTGGAAAAAGGTTGAGAAACACAAGGCTAGATGAACACATTCATTTATCCTTCACAATGTGGATGGGTGGGATTTGGGCAACGCAAGGGTAGTTTTAAATTTCTTCAGGAGCATATTTTTTCTTTTCACCATCTGTGTCCCATTGGGGAAACTTCCCATTGCTTCCTGTCCTGAAGACAAAAACACTCCATAAGAAAAAGTATCCACACTGAAGGTTTTCCCCTCTATCTCAATCCCTGTTCTGGTGACAACTCAAAATTCTGGATTTTCCTTCACTACCCAGTGATAGTATTCGCCAGGACAAAATGACAGGATAAATCTTCATCATGGGCACATAGACATTGGTAGTTGTATATCCAGAGTAGACGCAACAGGTCTCCTTACAAAGCTACAGCACTAAGTTACAGGGCCTGTTCACACTGGCTGCCATGCTACAATCCTTCAATAGGGGGACACCTGTTCCCGTGAAAGCTCACACTGTACTTCTGGCCCACTAGGAATGACCATAAGTACTGCCAGTCTCAGACCCCAGTGCTTTGGTCATGTCTCTGCTTCCCTATCCTCTTGGCCATTCACAAAACACATAGCTCCAGTCTTCATTTAGTGAATGGCTAAGAGAAGAAGAAGGTGAAGACATGACCATAGCACTGGGGTCTATAGACCTGCAGCACTTATTTCCAAGTGGACTACAAATACAATCTGAGTTGTCACAGAGCAGGAGTCCCTATTGGAGGAATTGTCCCCTACACATGGACATGCCTAAA